TTAATAATTCCATATAATACAATGGCACTTATAATTTTATCTTTTTAATAACTCCACAGAAAATGCATATAGGGGTTAATGTCTAGTATTAAATTAAAGTAATCTTTTTTTTTTTACATCAGATGTTCAGATAATTACTTATTTTTTACAGCATACTTTCCAATTTTACACATAAGCGACGAAAAATAAAAAATGGTAGCAGTAGAGTCGCAGCATAGTTGGGAGAAGTATAGATGATATCTAACAGTGATTAAAATCACTATTATACATTTAAGACAATAACATCACCTAACGTAGTCTTATCTAACCTTGCAACTATATTTTTAAATAAAATTTGATACTCAACCTAATTGAAATGAACATTTAAAGATTGTTTAAAGATAGCCAATTTAATAACAAAAATTGACCATTTTTGTATATTATTTTTCTAATATAGTTATAGTGTGATATCACCACTAAAGTAGACGAAAAAAGAAAGTTTGATAATTCTGACCTTTGTTAGTTGACTGTAATTTCAGTTTTGAAATTGTAATTTTTCAAAAGCCATTGGTAGCTAGAACATTTGTTTTTGGAATGGAAGGCCCCTTTCTTTTAATATACTTATTGGATGAACAACAGCAGTAAAAATCCTTCTTGGAAATATTTATAATTATCATTTATACTATATCAAATTTTTATTATAAAATGTGGTACTTACCATGTGTAACCACAGCGATAAGGAGCTTAAAGGACCAGTTGTGTAATACAAAATTTGCAAAATAAAATATTTTAATTATATTAAAAAAAAAATATTTTTATTAGTTTATATTATGAATAAAATCATAGTTTTTTTTATAGATTAAGATATGAAGATTTTGTTTTTATCAATTAAAATTATTGAGACACTTAAATTTATAAAATAATAGATAAAACTAACAAAAAAGTATAGTTACTTACTGCGAGCCCCGCCCCTCTCCACCTTCAACATTGGCTTTGTGCAAACAGTGAAATCAAATATTTTTTCTCTTATGTAAAATTTCTGCGGACGTCTTTGGTGCTTGTCTCCCTTTCCGATTAATCTAAAATATAGGCATAAATAATTGATATTGAAAATTATAACAACACGAATAGATATAGTGAATATAGTGCCTAATAGATAATATACCAAAGAGATACCTTATACTGAAGTAACTGCATATAAGCCTCGAGACTCGCCTTGCATTATGTATTGGTGTACAATATTTAAGATTAAATAGTGTTTAATAAATATGAGTTTTGAAATTTTGTTTTTTAGATCTCAAATACAATTTTAACTTAATAAATATTAAAATAAAAATATAATAAGAATTTCTAGACTGGTTACATGAGCAAAAAAAAAAAATTGTCATCTATAATAAATTCTGAAGTCAATAAGTAATTTGTTGTACATATATATTAACTATAAACTGAATGTTATTGAGTTATATTTGATTTATAAAACAACAAATATTAAAACGCCAAACTTAAGTAGTTATTTCATCACAATTTAATAAACTATTTTATCTATTTTTTATTTTAGTATTACTAATAATAATGTAATAGAATATTTGAATATTTCATAAATTAATAATATTAATTGTTTTTTTTTACACCAAATCTTCAATGAAATTTATAAAATCAACTTTGAATTTAGGACTTACATTATAGTCCCCTGAATGTCCTAATTATTTTCAATACTGATATTTTAATTTGACAGAAATAGTAAGTAGCTACAATAGTTGTTATTCTGCCAATAAACCAGCCAATTTATGGTTAAAAATGACAAGAATTAAATAAATGAAGTCGAGATATTGTATTTGGAAATTGTATTTATTTATCTTTAATATTACAAATACATTTTATGTAGTTTATATAATTTAGTTATTTTTAAATTAAAAACTAGAAAAGCTAAGAATTTCATTACAGTAGAATTATTCAGATTACAATTGTAAATTTTATCATACGTATATTTGGGTAAGGGATCGGTCTGGCTTAGTGGGTAGACGCGTATACTTTGGCTCTTGAGGTTCGGGTTCGATCCCCGTGATGACAATGAGATTTTTATTGTGATTTTCTTATAAGTGTCTGGTCTTTGGTGGAAGCCGGCTATAATATCCATCCCGTTTATCATTGGCCCAGCCAAGAACCTTCATGTTAAGTTTGAGACTAGAAGGATGTAAACCCGATCATACTTATTCTTTTATTAATAAAAATAGATTCAAAACAAACAGATTTAAAAAAAAAAAATCTAAAATATATATTTAATATGTGTTAATAATAGTTATGAGCAAAAAAAAGTCATTTGATGGTACTTTATTCACGAACAATTTTTTGTGCCTCCCCTCCCATTATAAATTTCTAAATACACCACTGTCTTATATTGAGATATTATATGTAATTAAAACAATAAAATATTTTTAAAATATATATCAGTTATTCTATAATATTATTCTACTAATAAAACGGAAATAAAAGTATTTTATATAACAATTAACGAGTTATTTTGAAGTGTTTAATTATAAAAATTAAATACAAAATTTAATTTTAAAAATCATTTGGAGAATAAATAAGGACAAATTTATTATTAACTATAAGTAAATATAATTACAAACTAAATTATTATAAACACTATAAAGTAATCCTCAATTGCCAAAACTGATACTATGATGTGTTTTTTAGCTTCGATGCGAAGCTGAGAAGGTATTGGTTTTACCATGATGTGTTTTTTTTTTGTGTCTGTTACAACTTTTTCTCAGCTCTCATCAAACCGATTTCTTTCAACGATACGTCAAAAGATCACAAATCGTATCTAGTCGAAGACATTACCCTCAAAAATTGAAAAAAATTCCCTCGTTCCCCGTAAATGAGGGAAACCTCCAAAAAAATTACAAATTTAAAAATCGCTAATTTTCGAAATTTTTTCAATTTTTTTTACTTAAAATTGCTATAACTTTTTTAAAAATAACCAAATCAATATAATTTTTTATATAGATGCATGATATCACTACCTTTTATTTGGTATATTTTCTTTATAAATCTGACTTTTTACCTGCCCACAGGGGGGGATTTAAAATGACAACTTTTACACAAAAAATTATTTTTTTCAACTTGATTTTTGAAAATGTTCCGGAAGGTCTGACACTTTTATATATATCTTAAATTAAAGCTAATGTAATATACTTTATCATGAAAAAAAAAAAATTTCGGACTTTAATTTATCTTCACGGTGAAAATGGCTACCAAATGCTATTTTGTGTGAAAATTTTCGATTTTATATTTTACATTTTTAATTTTATTATGTTATAACTATTTGAAAAATGTATGGATCAATACAATTTTTTCATGAGAAGTAGTATTTATATACATCTTTCATTCGACATACTGTTTTTTTAAATCAGACCATTTTCCTATATTTGAGGGGGGTTCAAATCTAAAAAATGCATGTAGAAAGTAGAACTTTTTCAACTTAACTTTTGAAGATGTTCCGGAAAGTCTGACACTTTTATATATATCTTAAATTAAAGTTAATGTAATATACTTTATTATGGTAAAAAAAAATTTCGGACTTTATTTTATCTTCACGGTGAAAATGGCTACCAAATGCTATTATTGTGTGAAAATTCTCGATTTTATTTTTTACATTTTTAACTTTATAATGCTATGACATATTGAAAAGTGTATGGATTAACATTATTTTTTTATGAGAAATAATATTTTTTAATAATCCCTTTTCCATTCGACATACTTTATCTTAATTAAGATATTAATAATGAACTAGCAGATCATGTAGCTTTTGGAATAATACACAAATTTTTTTAAAATTAAACATAATCTAAAGATTTTCATGGAAGCGTTTATTTTTGATAGTGATTTTAATCACTGTCAGATATCATTATACTTGATCCATCTATGCCACGTCACCACTGTGCCGCGACCCCCCTGTGCCGGGTTTTTTTTTACTTAATACTACCATAACTTTTTTAAAAATGACCAAATCAATGTAATTTTTTTTATAGATGCACGATATAAAAATATACCAAATGATAGGTAAAGACACCTATCATTTGGTATATTTTTTTTTTATAAATTTGACCCATTACCTGCCCAAAAGGGAGATTTAAAATGACAACTTTTTCACAAAAAAATAACATCTTGAAAGTCTGACACTTTTATATATATCTTAAATTAAAACTAATATGTAATATACTTTATCATGGAAAAAAAATTTCGTACTTTATTTTGTCTTCACGGTGAAAATAGTTACCAAATGCTATTTTTGTGTAAAAATTCTCGATATCGTATTTTACATTTTTAACTTGATAATGCTATAACTTATTAAAAAGTGAATGGATCAATACAATTTTTTTACCAGAAATAATATTTATATCCCTCTTTCCTTCAACATATTTATTTTTTTAAATAACACCATTTCTCTTTATATATTCGTATATCACACTTATAAATCATAAAACTTAACTCGCTTAATTCAGTTTAGAATAATCCGTTATGATTATTATTTATTAGTCCCAGGCATGAGCCTTTTTATATGTGTAATAATAATATATAAAACATAACAAAATAATGTATTTGGTTTTGAATTTTAAAATTAGAAATGGTAGAATAAATTGATTAGTTTGAAGACTAATTGTATTAAATTAGATTTTTAGTTTGAAAGCTTAACTCTATGGTAAATTATTTTATTTATTTCACTTATTATTCATTAATAAAGAGTATTTATTAGTTTCTCAAAAACTATTTCAATTTTAATAACTAATCGAAAATCTATAAATAATGTATCTATATTGTATTTTATGCTTTTACAAAATTAATTACAAAAATAAACTTAATTTAAATGTTAAAACAAATTTAACTATACGTTATTAAATAAAATAACATGTTTAAAAAAATTTCATAATATACTTATAGTTTTAAGGCACTAATTTATTGCACATAATAATCATTTTCTAAATTATTTTTGTCTATAAAAATTAGATAAATATAGAATTTAAGTAATATAAAATATAAGATTGTAGATAAAATATTTGCTAATAAATTCCAAAAAGAATTAAAAAAATCAGTCTCATACAAATATTTAATGATTTTCTGATTCATCTACAGTTTTATAATAATATAATTTATATCTTGAAATATTCAATGTTTAAAGAATAAAACGTCATCCTCAAAGAGGGCTAATAATTTCCTGTAAAGATACACTAGCATTACTACAATTTAGCCTGTCTTTCACTATCATGTGCTCATATAGAAATATGGTAAAGTCAAAAATATTTCATAAACAATATTATTATCAAAAATTTAGGGTGAATTTATATGAACTTATTCAATATATTTAACATAACTTATCATTAATGTAAGTTTCTACCGTGCATATACATTATACAAAATGCAATTTGCATTATTCTACATTTTTTTGTTGTGTATTTCAAACATTAGAGTAGAGTCAAACTAAAATAATTTCAAATAACCATACATAAATAGTTACTTTAGCTTAATTAAATTACTGAGATTAATAACCTCATTCTTGACTTATGAAATAAATTAAATAAGAGAAAACATTCAAATTCATATATCAGATCTTGAAAAAGGTTCCAGTGATCCAGGTTGTACCCATGATAACGGTGGGTTTTTACTTTCACTCTCCTAAAAAATATTTTTAATGTATTCATTAATATAATGTATAAAGCTTATTTTAATGGTGTGGCTAGCCAGTTAAATAATAATTTTTGACATATATTTGAATTACTAAAAATATTTTCAGATATATTTGAGTTTTTTGTTTTGAACTGATGTCTCAAATTCTTTGTGAAAATAATTTCAATGTTGACCTCTACTGTTAGGACAGTTATAACTTCTAAAAAGTTGTAATTTCACACTAATGTACACTACACTCAATTGGAAATATCAGTATAAAATTGAGGACAAATATAAATTAAACAATTTTTTGATTAATTATGAATAAATATGCCAACTTTTTGATGAATCCATGATTGTCTAGTTAATCCATGAATTCCTTCGTCATATCGATCAAATAAAATATAATGAGGATCTTCACATTCAGGTTGATTTGGTTGTTTGTATATATCTATTCTACTTTGTTCAACACATTCTTCACACTTTTTAACAAATCTTTCATTTTCTGTTTTTAATCTTACAATAAATTTTTCATTATACATTTAATAGTATATATTATTAAAATATGTAAATAAATAAATTACAGTTCTGCAGCTTCAAGATTAACTGGTTTTTTTATACGAGGTATATCACAAAATGACTTTTGAACATGATTAATGACATGCCAGATTCGGTTAACTCCTTTTTTCCATTCTGGGAAATGGTACTTGATATTCATTTCACCCGATACTACATCAACAAGAGGATGAAATATAGGGGTTTCAATAATTACTTTTGGACAATCACAATCTGGCCATGTTTTTTCAATTATTATTCGAAAGCGGAAAACTCCATTTTTATATAAGCCATATCGAGGAAAAATTACTCCAAACCATACTAAAAAAAAAAAAAGTCATGAAATTATTTTGATTATTTAAAAACAGTTATCAATTTACTAAATGGTGTTTTAGCAGCTGGCATTACATATACTCCAGGAATCTTTTTTTTGCTGAGAATATTACTAAAAATAAATTTAGAATAGTTATTTTATATTTGTATCACATTTAAAAAATACTTACAATTCTGACATTAAAGTATACTCCAAGAAAAATGGTATGTAGTTTGGATTTAAATATGAATTACTTTTATTGTTTGGTTTTACAGCAATACCACTTACACTAGTGGTATCATCTCCAGGGGCTATAACTCGACGAAATGAACCAGCACGCTTAAATACTTCTTCACAGTTTTCAGACTGCATAATAATAAATTATTGTATAAAAATTTAAACCTTTGTTGATAATAACTGAATTTTCAAAATTGACTTACCATGACATCCAATAATTTCTTTTAAGTGTACATACATTTATAACTTTAATAGCAAATAAATATCAACTGTCAAAGTTAAAAATGAAAAATTTTTAACTAGACAGAATCAAAAAGTTTTTAGAATGAAAGTAAATTATGTCATTAAAATTTGATTTACACATTGTTAGTTATGGTGCATATAAAATTAATAATAAATATTTTTAATTAGAAATTGAAATTATTAGATTATATAAAATTGCCATACCTTATCATAGATATGAATATCAAAACTAAATTGATAAAATAATAATAAAATTGATAATATAAAAGGTGTATAATTCATATATATCTATGGATATAAATACTTACGTCGATGCCATTGATAAATGGACTGATATCGAATACCTTATCAGTGATCATGACATTTTTCTCAACATATTTCCTACCATAAACAACCCAATCTATACAATTTTTTGGATAGTGATAATGAATAGTGTTAATTGTGTTATCCCATATAAATACAAATATGTATTTAATATACGATAGCGATTATAAACTTTTAATGAATAATATAAATAATTGGAACTATTAATAATGTCGGTTACTATGACTCATGATGAAATAATAAATAATAATAATCATTATCTATGTCCGTACTATAAAAATAATCATGATAGTGAATATACTATAACTTATAACAATATCATAAGAATTATTTTTATAGCAAATGGCACTACTGTATAACTGTTGCTACTAACATCTTTTATTTTGCTTGTTGGTAATCGTCTCGCACACACATGCGTTGCGTGTTAACTCGATCGGTAGTGGAATACGTTATCAATTAGTTGAAAATTTTTTATTTCGATATTTGTTAAATGTTATGTTATAAATATTTTTTAATTAAAATTTAACATATAAATAAATACATTTTTTATTTTAAAAATTAGTGTATCATTGTTTTATTAGCTTATAGTTATTGTTTTTAATCAGCAGTAGTAATTGATAATATACTTCTATAACGCCCAAATATTGATTTCCAGTTGTAGACCAGGAAAAAAGCGATAAAATTCTAGTTCAATTTTGAACAGGTGAGAAAATATTTATCATTAAATATACCTTTTTAATTAACTTATTTTTAGTCATGGTCCTAAGAATTTAATCTTAGGGTGAGATAAAGATAGTTTATCTTGAACACAGGTTGATGTTTTAGTTATAAATGTATTAATTAATATTATTTAATATGTAATATATATATATATATATATATATATATATATATAAATACATAATTTTATTAATAAAATCACTTTTATTTTGTAAACATGTTAAAAAAGTATATTATCGTAATTTACGTTAAACAACTCGTAATTCAGTTCTGTTCATCAAGAAACTTGGTGAAAATTTGAGATTAAATAAACAATTGGTTGTTTAATGAGTTTTATATTAATTAACTATAAACTTAACTATACTACTAAATCTTAGATTTTAAAAATTGTTTTAATTATTGATGTAATGTGAAACTAAAGAGTTTAAAATTTCATGATCTGAAATTTATTGGGTTAATTTCATAAAATGCACCATCAATTGGTGATTTTTTTAATTTAAATTCTGATTTTAGTAATACCTTAAATAAATTAACATATACCCTGGCTTCTGTCTTTCCTCAAAAAAGCATTGTACTTTTTTGTTTAAATTTTTGCTCTTCCCCATTTTTTTTCATTTTGTCTGAAATACTACCTATTTAAAAACAAAAAACATACGTTTTTTTTTTAAGCATAATTTGATTAGATGTTATATGTATTTGACTTGGAAATTTTTTTTTTGTAATTATAGCCTGTGCTACACAAAATTTTTAGTTTTGTTTTTACTATACTTGTTTATAAAATTTTCCTGGGTTGCACTTAAATTCTAAAACTAGTAAATAATAAATTGGTAATTTTATATTTATAAAATATACAAGCTGTAAAAATTATAGTATAAAATATAGTCTTCATTAGATAATTGGGTAAATGGTTGTCGTACCTGATTATTTTATTTTAGTATGTTCTTAATAGAATTTATAATATTAAAGTAGCATACTACTTGGAATAGTTTTTTAGATTAGTATTGAAACGTTTTCTATTTCAAAATTAAATACGGATTACTAGATTATATTTTAAACAGTAATTTAAAAGATATATATTGATTAGTATGTACAAAAAACAATTTAATGATTGACATATTTTTATTCACTTACCCAGTTCGCTGACTCAAATGAAGTACCATGAACACTTTTATTATGTTCGTGATTTCGCATTTAGATCTGTTTATAAACATTATACATAATTTATAAGTGTCTCATTTTATCACATATTATATACTTCTTAGTATTTTGTATGTGACTAGATTTTTCAGAAAAAAAAAATTATTTCATTTATATTTTTAATAATACGATTGTTGTTTCATAAGGCGTTTATTCTATGCGATTACTATGTATTCCAAACCCATAAAATAATAGTGTAAAGTTCTTATATTTACTTTTGCCATAAATATTTTTTTGTTTTATTGTGTATTTTTAAGTTTATTTCTTGAAAATGTATTCTCTGTCTTTTGTTATAATAAATCATAATTATCGTATGAAAATTCACCAATAAGTATTTTTTTCGTAGACATAATAATATAGCTGAATTCGGTTTATTTAAATATATTAATTATTTTAGTTAAAATACCAATTTACTCAATTTAGAACTGATAATAAAAATTTTACAAAATTTGTGAGAAATTATTTTTATTTAATGTTTTTCGATCATTAATAAATAAATAGTTATGTTTTTATAACTTTTTTTTATTAATTACTGTATCATTCAAATATTAGTGATGAGGAATTTCTGAAAAGTAGAAACAGCAAGTAAAGAAATGTAGGATTACTAGGTCACGATTCATGCCGTTGTCGGATGGCGGCAACCAGCTCGTTTGATGAACAAAACATTAAAATTGGTCTGGTAAATAACCACCAGGTACAAGATGAAAATAATAAGAACTATTGTCCCCGGAGGGCAGATTAAATCACTACAGGTTTTTTAAGTACCTCTAACTTTAAAAAATGAGCCTTTTAATATATGTAGTATATTACTATGTGATGGTTAATTCTTGTTTTTTCTCAAATACATTTTTTTTTTTGAAACCGAGTGCCGCGCGTCGGGTTAATAATAGGCGTCGGGTGGTTGTCGGACCCCTGTGGTCTTTGGATAAATCAAATATTACTGGAGAACTGTAAATTCAATAATGTTATACCTATCATTTAATGGCGACTATGCCTCACCCAACCTGTAGTTTTGAGTAAGTCGTAAGACATGTATTTCTTTAGGTCGCTTGTTAATAGATATATAAATGGAGAGTGTTAAGGGTTGTATTTAAAAATAAATATATATATGTGTATCTTTTTTCACTTGATAGTAATCATTTAAATTTTTATTAAGAAAACTAAATTCAACATTAAAGTATAATCAAACGTTTATTTTTCTATTACATAGGAATAACAAAGAGAGAAAAGTGCCTGGATTTTTTTTAAGAGTATAAATATTTAATTTAACATTTTTCTGTTTGTTAATAATAAGGATGATTAATTTGTTTATATAAATAAATAAGTAAAAATATATAGGGGTTAATATTTTTAATGATGTCATTAATTGTCTTTTATAATTTACTTTTACACAACAAGTCTGGTGTTTTGAAATGTACTACAAATTAGTACTTCATATTACACCATAGTAGTGCGTATTATTTCTTTGATGCCTCGGTAATGATTTGCTACCCAATGAATCTTTTGTTTGACTATGAAAAGATGTACTGATAAAAAATGTATATTTGAATTTGTACCTCCCCAAATAATACAATTAATTGTATCATTATATAAAAAACCATTAATCTAAATTGTATTTTATAAACTATTTTTAATTTCAATAAAAATAGGTGTACTAAAGATGTAAACATCAATCATATGGAAAATAAAATTTGTCGTTATTATATTTAAATTGAGAATAATAAAACTGATTTTGTTGAAAATAGTTTTGATATTTTCCCTTAATTATGATTTACATAACAAGTATTTATTTAATTTTTACTCAATGTAAATGTTAATAGAACTATTCTCTAATATTAAAAATATTTTTGAAATAGATAATAACAAAAAACATTTAAAATCACATTCTATATGTATATATAAGTATTTAAATAAGTTTTAGCTGTCCTAGAGATGACTTGTTTAGGGCTTAATGAAAATATTTTTAAATTGAACCCTTTATAAATTTTGTTCATATAAACAATATGTGCGCTAGCATATCAAAATTATTATTGATGTAATTAATTTAATATATTTATTAAGTACTTAATATATATATATATATGACAAGTATATATACAATAATACAAACTTTCTTTCTTTTAAATTTTTCATTGACTGATTTTTCTTTTAGGTTAAAATAGACATATACTTTCTGATTTTCGTTAGTCATTTATTATCATCTAAATACAGTAGCTAAATATCGTTGTCTAAAATGTTTGTGTTAATAGGATATAACTCAAAAATAAGTAAACTATTTGTGAATTAAACATATCATTCTAAAGATGTTTTATTTTGATTGTCCAACTACAACTTGTCTTGTACTATTCTTCGTAATTGAGGTAACTAAATTAAAGGCGATGAGTTTACCAGTCTTTTATGGAAGGGATATACATAAGAATTTTTTTTTACCTTATAAATAAATTTTTATTATATATATTTTTTATCATAGGAGTTCTTTCCTTAATATCCCTTTATGAGAATGTCTATAGTGACATTATTTTAAAATTTGGCATAATTTAACTCAATGTTTTAGTTTTCTATTAATTATTAAGTAAAAATAGTATTTATATGTTTATAAAATTGTTTTAATATTGTATTAAAAGAGCATAGAATATCTTAAGCATTGTTTGCATCCATTGATATTGTGTACTTAAACTGGTTTTTAGCTGTCTACTCAAGTGAATCATCCATGTAAGGGGGTGTGTATTTCTTTACTCATCTGTCCAGAAACATAAATGAACATCTGTGGGAATAACGTCTAGTAAATACATGACTTAAATATTGCCACACTTCCGCTCAGGAAAATTAACTAGTTTAGTTGTTTTATATTATTATTTGTAGGCTACTTTGACGTCGTGTTTATAAACGTTATTTATTTAGTTAACTTTTGTTCCCTTTTCTCATATTTTAACAGTTTTAAATGTTACTAAAACTATAAGTATAATTTAAAAATATTTAATTATATTTTAAATAAATTGGTATTGAAATTTTATCATGTAGTCTTTTTTTGCTAATTTTTTTTGCATTATGTATATAAAAAAAAATACAGTACAAATTAATTCGTTGAGAGTTAACTATTATATTATATTATATTATATTGAGTTAACATATATTACTATATGTTGATTTAATAATCGCTTGGAAATAAATTAAAAAGAAAACAATATACTGTAGATAAATATGACAAAATGATTACAGTAATTATAACAGTTTAAAAATATATATTAAGACAAAGAAATTTTTATAAAAATTAATGTACTTGTAATTTTAATAAAATGACAACAAGAAATTAAGTTTAAATATTGAGTGTTGTTGGACAAGATTCTCTCAATACAATTATAAGTTTTCAATTTTACACATTCCAAGATACTTTTATAATTTACTCGGTATATATTTTCAGGTTAAGAAGTTCTAATTATGTTTCTTAATACGTACTTGCCTAGATCAGTTTGAAATTGAATGTATTGTGATGGTTTATTATATACAATGATTTAAGTACGCGGAGAACAATCAGCTGTTAATAACATTTGTTTAATATTGATATTAAAACTTACGAAATAATTTCAAAGATACTTACTTGTCGTATATTAGTTTAAAAACAACAGAGTTACTTTCTGTATAACATACTCCATTTACATATCATGTGTCTTGGGAGAGGGGAGGATGTCCAATGAGTCCAATCACCTCTGGGTTTTTTGCTAACAGATAACCGTTGTTGTCGTTTGTATCGTTGTGATTATTATTATTGTTCATTAAAATACGTGACGCATCAACTGGTTGTAATTAAAAGCCACAATAATCCTTTTATCGGAAACTGTTATTTCTGAGTACTTATACAAAAGTATGTACGGTGCCGCCTGATGTTCAAAAAATCAGTATATTATTGAAAAAATAAAAAAGTATTAAATGTAGTAAATATTTTAAATAAATATTAAGAATTAATATTTAAGTCTTAATTGGGTTACTTATTATCTGTTATTTTAGGGTCAAGTATAATATTCATTAGACATTGCTTAAGATAAGTCAATGCCAATACTAAGTACAGAGTGTGGACTAAGGAGACCAAGAGTCAGAGGGACACAAAAATTATAGTGATTCTGTCCGTTCTAAAAAATGTTTGCATAGCTTCAAAAAAATCTGAAGAATTTTATAACACCCCTGTAATTATAATTTTTTACTTTAATTAAAAATCCATCTTATATTTTTTGTACTCTAATTTAAAACTTTGTTAGATATAGTGGTCGTTTTATAAACTGCGGCCCAAGAGGCAATTACCCTCTTACTACCGTGAGCAATTGACCCCAGATCTTTATAAATATAAGAAAAAAAAACTCTTATTCAATTGCTTTAAAATATTTATTTACAGTTACCTCATTTCTTTACTAAATCCTATGTGTTTAGTATAAATATATACATTTCTTTTAGAACTTGATACAGTAAAACTTCATATATTTATATACAATTTTCAGGTTTAATTATTCTTAGGTAGAAAACTATTATCTTTTGACTATATTTTAGCTTCGATGCGAAGCTGAGAAGGTATTGGTTACAAAGATGTGTTTTTTTTGTGTCTGTTACCACTTTTACTCAGCTCTCACCGAACCGATTTCTTTCAATGATACGTCAAAAGATCACAAATCGTATCTAGTCGAAGACATTACCCTCAAAAATTGAAAAAAATTCCCTCGTTCCCCGTAAATGGGGGAAACCTCCAAAAAAATTACGAATTTAAAAATCGCTAATTTTCGAAATTTTTTCAATTTTTTTTACTTAAAAGTGCCATAACTTTTTCAAAAATAAACATATCAATATAATTCTTTTTTATATAGATGCATAATATCATTACCTTTCATTTGGTATATTTTTTTCATAAATTTAACCCTTAACCTGCCCACAAGGGGGGATTTAAAATGACAACTTTTTCACAAAAAATTAATTTTTTTAACTTGACTTTTGAAAATGTTCCGGAAAGTCTGACACTTTTATATATATCTTAAATTAAAGCTAATGTAATGCACTTTATTATGGAAAAAAAAATTTCGGACTTTAATTTATCTTCTCGGTGAAAATGGCTACCAAATGCAATTTTTGAGTGAAAATTTNCGGTGAAAATGGCTACCGAATGCTATTTTTGTGTGAAAATTTTCGATTTTGTATTTTACATTTTTAACTTTATTATGGTATAACTTTTTGAAAAATGTATGGATCAATACAATTTTTTCATGAGAAGTAGTATTTATCTACATCTTTCATTCGACATACTGTTTTTTAAATCGGACTATTTCCCTATATACAAAGAGGGTTTAAATCTAAAAAATGCATGTAGAAAGTAGAACTTTTTCAACTTAACTTTTGAAAGTGTTCCAGAAAGTATGACACTTTTATATATATATTAAATTAAAGCTAATGTAATATACTTTATTATGGTAAAAAAAATTTCGGACTTTATTTTATCTTCATGGTAAAAACAGACATCAATGTTGATAAAAAAAATACGATTTTTGTAAAAAAATTCTTTTTTATATTTTTAACTTTATAATGCTATAACTTTTTGAAAGATGTATGGATCAATATAATTCTTTTTTTTATAAATGCATGATGTCTTTACCTATCATTTGGTATATTTTTTTTATAAATCTGACTTTTACCTGCCTACAGGGGAGGATTCAAAATGACAACTTTTTCAAAAAAATGTTGAAAGTGTTCCGGAAAGTCTGACACTTTTATATATATATCATAAATTAAAGCTAATGTAATGCACTTTATTATGGAAAAAAAAATTTAGCTTTTGGAATAATAAACAAATTTTTTTAAAATTAAACATAATCTAAACGCATGGAAGCGTTATTTTTGATAGTGATTTTAATCACTGTCAAATATCATTATACTTGATCCATCTATGCCACGTCACCACTGTGCCGCGACCCCCCTGTGCTGGGTTTTTTTTTACTTAATACTACCATTACTTTTTTAAAAATGACCAAATCAATGTAATTTTTTTTATAGATGCACGATGTCTTTACCTATCATTTGGTATATTTTTTTTTTATAAATTTGACCCATTACCTGCCCACAAGGGAGATTTAAAATGACAACTTTTTCACAAAAAAATAACATCTTGATAGTCTGACACTTTTATATATATCTTAAATTAAAACTAATATGTAATATACTTTATCATGGAAAAAAAATTTCGTACTTTATTTTGTCTTCTCGGTGAAAATAGCTACCAAATGCTATTTTTGTGTAAAAATTCTTGATATCATATTTTACATTTTTAACTTTATTATGGTATAACTTTTTGAAAAATGTATGGATCAATACAATTTTTTCATGAGAAGTAGTATTTATATACATTTTTCATTCGACATACTTTATCTGAATCAGGATATTAATAACGAACTAGCAGTCATGTTGCTTTTGGAATAATCCACCAATTTTTTTTTTTTAAATTAAACACTAAAGATTTGCATCGAAGCGTTTTTTTTTTATAGTGATTTTAATCACTGTTAGATATCATAATATTTGATCCAACTATGCCACGTTACCTCTGTGCTGCGACCCCCCTGTGCTGGGTTGTTATTTAAGTTATATTTTGAAAACATTGTTATCATTTTATTTTTTTATAGTGTTTTATTAAAGTAATTTTGAATTAATTGTATTAGTATTTATTATTGAGTTTTATATAATTTTCTTTAGATATTACTAAAAAAAGTTATATTATTAATTAATGATGATAAAAAATAACTTGACTATTTTATTTGAAAATGAGGGTTAAAATTAATTTCCATTTATTTTATTTCGTTGATGTTATGGATATCATTAACTAGGTTATCATATTATGTTGTTAGTTATCTATTTCCATTGACTCGTATGCTATGCAAAACTTAATAATTGTCCATTCAAACATTTAAACTAACAATATTTGAAACCGTTATTCAGTCACGTCTACTATAAATTATAATAATATATGCAAACGGAACGGGTCATTTATGTGATCTTTACATACTTGTTTTTTTTAGGCGCCACCTCTGTTATACGTATGGCTAACTGAACTTAAATTAATATAATATCTATAACTACTCAACAAATAATGTATTTACAAGTCTTATTTTAATCAACATAAATATATTCTAAGATTTAATAATTTCTTACATAAATTAAATAATACTAAATATTTATTTCTGGCAGAAATTTACTACTAATTTAAGTTCAAGCAATTTATTTATAAATGACGTTTTATATTTGATTTAAAATATTGTTTTTATTAAAAACTGTCAATTATTATAGAAATAATAGGATTCATTAATTTAATATTTAAAGTATTAATTTAAGAACTAAAATATGTAGAAAATATTTAAATTTTTATAAAATTAAATTCATCTTTCATAATATTTCTATAATTCTTGTTATTTTTAATTAAATTTCGCATTTTTATATGGTTAGTAATAGTTGCTAAAAATAGTAGAAACTGAAATCGTGCGAAATTCGTTTCGCGTAATATGTTAGTTATCATTTTTTTACAAGACCAAATTTGGATGAAGAACCTTCAAGGTTATTAAAATGTTAATTTTTTCGTGAATATCTGTAATTTATGGTTTTATCTATTATTCTGAGTTGTAAGCGTCGCTGTACGTGTGATCATGGTCGTATGCGGTTATATTTCATACTTGTACTTCAGAAACTGTATTAATAATTGCAAAAATTGTCTTAATATAGTAAATCAAGGATTAAAACTATGACATTGAAAATTAGCCTGTATGTTTTGTAATAACGTAATGCATTAATCTTTAAAACTTAGATGTCATTTTAAAAGTTATAGGTAAATAACTTAATAATTGTTATAATTCAAATTTATAAAACAACTCTTGATTTGAATAAACTTATAAGAGAATTTAAAAAATAGTTATATTTTTATTGTAGCACGAATTTTGAGACAGAGTTACATTAATGTTATAATTACATTGTTAAACTATAAAAATATGACAAATATTAAAAAAAAAAAAACTAATCTTGGCTAAAATGCGATTCACGTATTGGTAATAATAATATAGTTAGAATATTGAATAGATGAATGACAAATACCTTCACAATTTGTATCGAAGCTAAAAAAAAAGAAGAAAGATTTGTTTGACTGTATAAGGATTCTCATAAATTTTATATTGTACAGTCTACGTTTTAATTTAAATAAGGTTTCTTCGATGTAAATAATAGGTATTTGCTGTAAAATTACTTGGCTATTATACAATTAGAAATATTTGTAGGCTGTTTAACTCCACGTAATGGCCCAAAAATCGTTTTATAATATTAATTGAATTATTATTATATTTTACACAAAAATATTCACCAGCAGTTAATTTAGTTAATTTTCATATTGATAACATAAAGTCAACTAAATTTATCATTGCTTATAATTATTTTTTGTTTTTACTATAATTTGACAATTTTTGCGTAATTTATCTTTTACATAAAAGCCATTACTAATGTGTTGTATATACGCTATTGATGTATTATTATTTACTCAAAATATTAGTATGTAATAATATGATAAGAATTCCCTTAATTAAAATGTACTACTAATTATTGTTACTATTTATTATTAGCAGTAATAAGAAAAAATTAAAAAAAATTAATTTTTTATTAATGATAAATAATAAGAAATATGATTTAAACGTTTTTTAAGGAGATAATAATTTTTTTTTTAATTTCAACAAAGTGATAATTTTATTAAAAGTTGTAAACGTTATCAGTTAGGTATAAAATAAACTAATCATTATTAGGTAATTAAAAATATATATTTTTAATTGATTTTTTTCTACACCAGAATCAGACAAAATATACCAATTCTAAATATTATTAGTATTAATACTTTGCCCTGTATTTAAAAATTATATAATATTTACTTGTTTATCATATGTTAAATGGATATAACAATCCATTAGAAAATCTTTTTCTTCTGTCAAATACTGTGTTAAAAGTTTGATATATTTCTTTTATTTGAAGTTTTTGCCTTAAAAAAAAATAATAATATCCAAAAAAAGTACTTATTTTACGCAATAGAAATTCAAGAAAATCTTGAAATTTCTCGTATAAAATGCAATAATTAGCTGATATTTTTTACTTCATTTCCAGAAATATTTTTAAAATTTTAATAAGAAATTGATTAATTGGTGCCTTTTTTTGACTATCAGTAATTTTGATTTAGCTGATTCATACATATTTAAAAAGAAGCTTGTCCTTACAATCTCGAACATGTCTTAGTTTTCGTTTTCACGTATCATTAACCAGGCACGTTTTGAGAATTTTACGGGCGCGGATAAAACATTTTTTTTTATTATTTAACAGAAAAAATTTATTTTAATGACCTTTTTGCTTATTTGTATCATTTTCAGTCAAATATTTGGTCATTGCATGAATTTTGGGGATTTGCGCTCCTCGAGCTTTTATATAAATACATTCTTTTTTATCAAACCATATTTTCACAATTATTTTTGTATTTATTTCGACATTTTAATACAATGAATTTTTAAATATCGTAACCATTTTTTTTACGGGTCTTAAAATACCGTTCATATTTTTTATTACCTCTTTAGGAATTCCTACGTAGTTATTTCGTAGACTAACTTGTTACTGTTTTTGAATAAAATTTATATCAAGTTTAATTTGTTTGGTCTATGTTGACGACCTCGATTGGTACTATTTGTTAGGCGCCCAATAGTTTATTTTTTAGAATCGTACGTGTATAATCAAATTTACAATCTTGTTTCTTTTTCATCGAAAAAATTTTAATCCTTATTGTAACAATAATAGATATGGTTTCATTGTGTCGTTGAACGGGTTCAGCATAATAATAAAAAATAAAATAATAGTCCGGTGAGATTCTTAACGATATAACGTAGTTGCTATATTTTACATGTATTGACCGCAAGACAACAATAGTTTGGGATGTGTAGGTATTATACTACCTTTTCTACGTTATAATAATTGAGTACCGTTGGAAATATAGAAATGGAAAATTACTAATGGGCTGCCATATTACAAACTGTCACCGATTTTTTTCTTCTTGTATACTAACGGAAAAAATGTTTATCATGTAGGTGGGTTATTTTGCGAACAGTTAATAATACTAGTATGAGTCATAATATTAGGTATTCTTCTAAAAATAATTATGTCAAAAATGTTCAGTAATGCGAAAATTATTTAAAGTCAAACAAAAATGCTTATAACTAAAAATATTTCAATTTAATGTGTATTCTATTTCTATAATATGTTATTTAATATATAAAAAATTACCACTAATTATTGTTATTGATATTGTTAAGTATTTGTAAGAAGATATTTATAATTGTGAATTTATTTTAAATTATTTGAAATGGTATAATACATTAACAACTTTTTTCTATATTCAAATTATAGATAGATTTTGTTTAAAAGATAATGGGTGAAAGACGTGGTACTAAAGCATTGGAGTTATGGTGTAGACGGGTAACTCAAGGATACGACGGTGTATCAATAGAAAATATGTCAACGTCTTGGAAGGATGGGCTAGCTTTTTGTGCACTTATTCATCATTTTAGGCCAGATTTAATGTAAGTATTATTTTTTCAAGTTTTTCTGTTATTATATTCAATTTAAATTATTTTATTTACCAAATTAATGAGAAAAATTATGATTTTATTTACTGTAGTTACCATTAATTAGATTTGTAATAGTTTATTTTGTAAGTTACAATACATTTTATTTATTTTAATTGAACTTGATTAAATAGACATGTTTTGTACTTAGCATTAATGTTACGATAGTGACACAACATTTCTATTGTTAATTCAAACATTTCAGTAAAAATTATATGGAGGTTTTTGGACATTGTATTTTATTCCCAGACACATACCTTAGTAACCTTCAACAGATCCGCTAATATTTCTGCCTTTTCTCTGTGTGTTGTCCTGAAGCAAGGTCGCTTAACTTCTTCGTGTAGCATGTGTAGGCTTAATGTATGTTTGTAATCCGTAATTTGCCATGGCTATTGAACAAAAAATTCTCGCACCCGTGAAATGGTTACTTTTCTCATCTGTTATATTAGATATAACTAAAAATATATCGTTGAAAAAATATTCAATACTTGCAACAAAAAGTAAGACATATAAGTTTGGTGTAAACAAGAATATTGTCTTAAGAGAGACTCATTCTTTATTGCTTTGTTGAAAATATATACTCATGATACAGAAAACATGACCGTATCTAAATAGCAGACGTTCAAATTTTTCCATGATTTTTCAATAATTTTAAGTACACTTAAAAAATAAAATATAACGTTTGTTTTTTTTTTTAAGTGACTATGACAGTTTAGATAAAAAAGATGTTTACGGCAACAATGAATTGGCATTTAGGATTGCTGAAAATCACTTAGGAATTCCAGCACTTTTAGACCCAGAAGATATGGCTTGTGTTGAAGTACCAGATAGATTGTCAATTCTCACATACTTGTCACAGTTTTACCAAACTTTCTCGTCACAAGGTAAATATAATGTAAACAATTTATATATATTTCATAACTAAGAAATATATATATATATATATATATATATATATATATATGAATCAATGCATGTGTATAAAAATAATTTTAATAGTGACTAGACAATTTTTAATAATAAAGTATATCTTATAGTAAGTAAACGCTGAGTTATAATTTATATTGACATTGAAATAGAGAGCATTAATTTTGTGAACTTGTTGTTAACAGTTATATTGTCGTTAGGCCTTGGTATTTTGTCAGTCGTGTTAGATCAATCATTTCTCAGGACATCAGTCAAGTAAATCTGTGTTGTTTTGTCTAATGTGGGTATTGCTTTGTAGGGTAATCGCTAGTAGCTACTGATTTTAACTGTTATTACTTATTACTTACAAATAATATGTTTTTACGCTTCTTGGAATTGTACGAACAAAAAATACAAAACTAAATCAAGTTCGTGACTGTCTGATTTTTGTAATGTTTTTCTTAAGTGGACTCTTCGATGCTAGTTAATAATTTGAAGGCGGTACACGCTTACATGCATGTTTGGCTTGCCGGAAATGATGACAGGAAACCTGTTGTCTGGATGTATGTGATTGAGACTTGGTTAAATAGAAAGGCTTGAGGAAGACCACCAGTCAAGTTTTTAAAACTTAAAAGTGCAGTACACATTAAAAATCAAAATAAATAAGTATTTTGTAAAATCTAAATTTTTATATGCTTGTCCAAACTTTCAATTAAATCCATTTAAGATAAAATGTAAATTTACTTTGAAATTTTGTGTTATATTTTTCGTTTTTTTATTCTTATTCAACTTTTTTAATTTTTTTGGATGATAAATCACAGCTTTGTATGACAGTTTTTAACTCTGTGTAGATTATTGTAATATTGTTGTATTATACATATGTGACTTAACTATTAATTATACTGTTCCTCTTGCACACTATTGGTACGTTAATAGTTGTTTTGTAATTTTTCATGATTGCCTATAGGTCAGTGTTCTGTAACCTTTGAAAAAACAATTACTACATGTTTTAACGATAAATATGCTAGGATGCGTAATGGAAATAAGAATAGAATTTATAATAATTGGGCTATAGTTGATTTACTTGGCTGCCTCAATGTGCCATTTGGCAACTTACAATATTAGTGCAGAGAAAGAACAAGAGAGATGGGAGATCATAGAAACCGGTTCCTGCAATTGTATATGTAATTTATTAAGGTCATGTGTGCGTTGATCCCAATGAGCTATACTTTCACTTATTATTTGATTTACCTTCTACATATCCTATATCGTTATTTTAATTAGTTTAAAGCAATACTTTGAAATTAAGAAGTTGATTATTAATTGTCATAGGTTAGCATTTTTTGCAAGATTTTAATGACTACTTTGACCCTAAATATATTTTGCTGTAAAATTTATTTAAATTAACAAAAAAAAATAATTTAAGTGTAGACATCATAACTACTGAACTTTCTTCATCTTTTAATGTTGTGATTAAAAAAGAATCGGGTGCATACTATTAAGAGCACAGTTTTTGAAACAAAATTGTATATTTTATCGAATTGTAAAAAACATTTAGTTATGGTTTTTTTTTTTGACATTGAGGCTTAATCAAAACTTTTATGTAGTTTTTTTATTTTTGTATTTTTCTCTTAAAATCTTACGTGGTTATTAAATAAGTGTGATGATTATTGTAAAATTTCAAGTGACAAGGTTGGTTTTAAGTTCCATTTTTTTTTAACTGCATGGTTTTCTATAAGTTTTACTTATCTAAGGAGATTACATAAGATAAATTATATTTTTATTTAATACATGTTAATTAACGTACACATCACTACAGGATCAAACAAGTCATCTCTTACGTCTTTAGCATTTTACAGACTAACAGACTACTACTGATGTCCTTTCGAAAGAAAACTGGTTTCCGTAAATTATCCATAACTTTAAAATACTGCTCACACGTTTAATTTTGGTAGCATTCCATCTCGTCGCGTCGGTGACCGATATAAGAAATAAATAAATGGCCATTTGCTATTTTTGATTCCTATAAGCTTTCATATATATCTTTTGACCTCAGATCATATAATTTCTTTACTTGACCTCCAACTTGTTTAACTGTACTCGGTTCAAAAAGTTAAACGGAAAACGTAAGATCACGCTAATAGAAATAATACTATTTTATGAGTAGTTCTCCGTGTTTTAAATTAAGGAGATAAATAAAAAACACACAATGTGAACTTGTCTCTGGAAAATTTAGATAGGTGGTGCGAGTAATAAATGATAAACCTATTTTCAAATCAAACAAAAAATACACATGTGTTTTTACTATACAATCGCTGTTTAAAAATTTAATTAAATTTCATATTGTCGGTTAATAGGTCAAGTAGTGATTGCCGCCCTCTCTTTTAACTTTTTTAAGGTTTATTATAGAAATTGATAATATAGAGATAAATTAATATTGTGACCCACTAGTGTGTATATGATAAAAATGATTTTATGGTGAAGATACGATTTTTTATCGTTTGAAGGGATAAGTGAATATTTGTTTTGTGTATATTGCTTTCCAAGACGAAACTTTAATTATGACACTGTTCTGGCTAAATATTATAACCCTTACACAATTGCTGATATAAATTATTCTACTTATTTATTAATAACCGTTATTATAAGAAAATTTGCATTTATATTTTACATATAAAAATTTATTTCTAATAAAAAATGTTTAGTTCTATTAATTCTTTTACTTGTCATTCTAAGATGCGCCAAGTGAAATTTTAAACTATATCATAAGATATTATTATAATAAGAACTTACTTGTAGCCATTTAAATTTTTCAATTTTAAAGTTTACCATCTACAAATGCTTTATAATTAATCATAAAAATTAGTATTTAATCTTTTACATAAACTAAATATCTTAAATATTATTTTTAAATTCATTATAATGATAAATTATTTATTTATTTGTTAAATAACTATATGAATTTATTTATTCTATCAGTGTCAATGGAATTCTCTTATCGTATAACACACTAGACGCTTCTCTCCACTTCACCCACCTGCACTTAAACTTATGTCTTACATCCTCGTCAATATCACCGTTATTTTGCACAACTAATCCTAAATACTTAAAACTTTCCGCCACACTTATCACTTCCTCGCTTATTGTCATCGATCTCCTCACTTTACCTACCTTGTGTTTTCCTTTGTCAAACTTGCATTCTATATACCTGTCTTACTCACTCTAAATTCATTAAAATGTTCAGTGTATTCATGTGTATGAGATTCTTTTAAAAGATTACCGTAAATTGGATTAAGTTTTCGGTCAAAAATGAAGTTGTAAATTTAACTTTTTAATAGTTTATATTTTAACTCTAAAACAGAAAATTGCTTTATTGCTTAACTATTAATTCATCTATTTCTGTATAATTCCTCGAAATAGTTTATCACTTCGCGTTAAGTTATTAATATCAAACGATCATTCTATATAAATGATTACTGATAACTTAATATTTTTATTTTCTGTTACATAAATTCGATAATTTAATAAGTTTGATTAGTGTAAATTTATTTTTCGGAAAATTATATAAATTTTTTTTGTAAAAAAAATTGAATGAGTGAGTTATTCACAAATATTTAGTTTGTGAATATATTTTGTATTTATTTCTATGAAATTCAACTTCTTTTACCACTAATTTTTATTGTGGATTATAAAGAATATTTAAAAATTGTTTAGTATCTTAGCCGCTAAGGCTTAGAGTTGACAATAATATATATAATAATTAATAATTCATCATTCTTTGATGAAATGCTTGATGAAAGTATAAAAAAAGTGTAACAAGGGTAATGAATACCAATTAACATTCACTATAGTGAAGTATTATCCTTAAAGAGTATTATTTCCAATGTGACAAATCAGTGTTTTTTCTGAATCCGACGGAAGCAATCATAATTATGTATTGTGTTAATTTAACGCTTACATCCTCAAATGCATTTCCTTCCTGTTTACTGGACATTAAGTTAATACTTAAATGTTAGACCAACCGTTACGAATATTAACATTATATTATTAAGTATTGTTGTTTCAAAATAAAATAAAAACTAGTAACAAAAGCAAAAATATTTTCTACAGCTCATTAAAAAAACCGACTTTTTAAAATAAATTTTGTTTTGGAAATGATTGCATAATGTGTTTGATTAATTATATTAGATCTGGATTTTCGTAATGGGATTTGAAAAAATCATGCAATTTACATATAATTATGAAACAAATTAATTAAAAAACCTCCATATTAATATATAAAAATATTTTGAATTTTATTTTTGCTCTAAACCTATAAAATCATCTAATCCAAACCAGCACTAGTGATAGTTTTAAGATTTATTTGATGTGTCCATTTTATATTTAAAGTGTTTCAAATACTTGGCTAATGGCTGTTCAATATTCAAATAACTATGGTTTACGAATGATAAACACTATTCAATGTATAGGTTACGACATGTATTTTTACTAAACAATAACTGTGACTACGCGTTTTATCATTTCATTAATATTTTACTCCCGCGTTTCTTTGCCGTTAAGCTATACATTGACTATCGTTAATTATATGTGTGTTTTTTGTCTGTTTGCCAACGCCTTTCAGTTCACTTCAGTCGTCCGGTTCTGTGATTTGTGTCTATTCATATAAATATATATCTATACAAAAGTCTATGTCATTTGTCATATTATCATCGGAGTTTGATTCATTCATATTATATTAATTTTGTATTTGTTTGCAGCCACGACACCCGTCAAAACTTCACCGGATTCGCCTATCACGGTTGAACGACCTAGGACAAATCCAGGATCCGGTCAAAATCCTCCTACTAAGGTAAATACCAATATTGTTGATTAATCTTATAATTGTATTGAGCTATTTAATGTCTTTTCGGCCCGTACCTGTGTAATAAAAAATTCACCATTTGGTTTTAATGGAATTTAATGTACTATTTTACACAAATTAAGAGGTCCAAAATATGATTCAAGGAAACAAATATTATTTTAATTACTATGTAAATATAAATAAATAACTTGTTAAAAAAATTACAGAATACCTAAAAATGAATTCAACAAAACAAATATGATTCATGAATAATGTTTTTTCTATGAAAATCATATAAAATTTTTGACCTCTTATTGTGAGTTTTATAAGCATAAAGACATTTAACTAAATTTTTATTTAATTTTTGTGTGTGAAATGTGTTAAACTATTTTACGTTAAGATTGTTTGGTTATTGACTAGTACTTAATTCAATATAATAGTTTACTGAACAAAAATTTCCCTGAATGTTTGAATTTTTATCCAGCTTATTTTGTTACGCATTCAAATCGTCATCGTTAATTTTGAAGTTCATAACTACCTCAATAATTATTTCACTGTGATAAACTTAAATATTTTTATTAATTATTAGTTAAATGATTTGTTTTGGTTTTTGGTTTTGAGTTAATTTTTTTTGACACATTGTAATTTTATTTATTTTTGATATAGAAATATCTGAGTCTTTTCTAGCCATTTAGTTAAAAAGCATTAGTCTAACCTTATATACAAAAATATCCACCCTACCGACCATTATTTTTATTGTTTTTATTTGTTGTTCAGGAGGATAGTTTGGATCTTATGGGATCTTATAAGCCTGAGATCTACTGCTAGAAGGTAAAATTTATTTTATAATTATGTCGTATGTAATGATAAGAATTTTGCAAATTGTAACTTTTATGGTGTGTGATTCTTCTTAAATTGCATGATGTTTAGATGATAACGCTTTTGTATTAACTTTTATTGTGCATTTTTAACTGTAGTTAGTTAGAAGAAATTTGTCTTATAGCAAGGTCGATTATGACATGCATCAAATTTATTTTTGAAATTTTATATCATGTTTTATATCATATCAAATAATACACTATTGTCCAACAAATTTTAAATAAAAATCACCATGTGTAATAATATTAATTTTACAATAAGTCAAAGTATAATAAAATGCTAATTTTATGGATTCATAATTTTTATACATTATTTTTTACATTAATAAGCGTATAGTTTTTATATTTTATCTTTTCAACTTTGTTAAATTTTACCGTTTCAATATATTCTAATAGTCTCATTTTATTCACATCTTAGTTCGACTATTATAGTTAATTTCTTTTTCGTTGATACTTCAAAATTAGATCTTGTTTTGCAGCTGTGTTGGATTTACATACCAATCCGATAATCTAGTAATTTATTGAAATTCATCCAATTATTATCTCATACCAATTAAGTAAATTTTGCGCTGCTTGATTAAACTTCAACGTTTCTGACCTTAAGTATCTACTTATTAACTTAGTTATCACTGTGTACTCAAATTACAAACTTGTATAAATAAAACGATAATTTCAGTATATTTAATTCTGAACAAAAAAATTCATCAATAATCCTTAAGATTAAGAGTATCCTTAAAATTTGATGTGGTTTAATTTTTGAATCCATGCCAAAATATCTTTTAATATAAAAACTATTATCAACTATTTAATATAAGTTGACATTTTTTATTCTACTACTCTATTTTTATCGTAGTTATGTGTTCTTATCACAATAGATACTACGTAATTATGTAAATTATCATTTTTTAATATTCAGAGTACGGTTAACATGTAAGATAAACCATTAATTTTATTATAGAATATCTATTTATTTATTTATTTCAATAAAAAAATTAAAAACGGTTATTACGCTCAATAGAGCAAAGAATACAAATTAAAATACAATTCCTATATATCATAAAACAATAGTTAAAACTATTATAAAAAAAATTTAATTCGACTAATTGTAGAATAACATTAAAATTTATGTAACAAAATATCTAAAAACAACTAATAAATATATTAGTTATTAACCTGACACTTGGAAATGGAATCAAAGAAAGAACAAAAATCTGTTAATGAGTTACAATTTAAAAATATTTTATTAAGAGGAGCATATTGACTATAATTTTGCCATGAGGTTCAACATAAATGTGTAGAGTAATTCGTTAATATTGCTTAAAGACATTTAATGATACTTAATCTAATAATTTTAAACAATCAATTTTATTTTTTTAAAGCTTATATCATTATAAACCCTTTTTTTAAAAGAAATCAAATTTAATTCTATAGATATATTATATAACGAATTATTTTTACCCATTTTATACCTTACCATTTGAGAAAAGTGGTATTGAATCTTTTGTATTTTACTTATCCAGATTAATATAGGCTCCAAATGAAGGATCCATATTCGATTATGGATCTTATTACAGCACAATACAAGATATGTAAACACAAAGGTTTTTAAACCTAAAAAGTTTCTCTTTGTAAAACCAAAAATTTTTAAAAATATTANAAAGGTTTTTAAACCTAAAAAGTTTCTCTTTGTAAAACCAAAAATTTTTAAAAATATTAGTCATTTGATTAATATGCTCCTTAATTGATAAATTGCTTGGAAAAATGCCAACTACATATTTAATACTAGTTACAACTTCTAAATCGACGTTATTAATTTGTTATAATTAAAAATAAAAGGTTTTTACGCTTGGTGAATGAAATTTGCTACAAATTGTAAATNATTAGTCATTTGAGTAATATGCTCCTTAATTGATAAATTGCTTGGAAAAATGCCAACTATATATTTAATACTAGTTATAACTTTTAAATCGACGTTATTAATTTGTTATAATTAAAAATAAAAGGTTTTTACGCTTGGTGAATGAAATTTGCTACAAATTGTAAATAAAAAAAACTTAACTTATGAAAAAGTATACTATGATTAACACTTTTAACACCTNATAAAAAAAACTTAACTTATGAAAAAGTATACTATGATTAACACTTTTAACACCTTTATTAAATCAATGTAAATAAACATCAATATATTATCCATTTTTGACTATCGTTACTAAGTCTGAGTAAAAAGTTAATAAATTAGTTAATAGAGTTACTATGTTTTCTGAAAGCCATGTTGCTGATTATTTAAAATGTAATTTAATAAGTTGACAAATTTGGCTCAATAAATGTGTTGTTAGGCAATTTAGACAGAACATTTTTTTTCGATATTGGTCTTTAATTCTATATTGTCACTTATACTGCAACAATGCTTGTCTTAGTTTTTCTAGAACTTCAGGATAATCAAAAACCAAATTAAAATTATACACATTTTATTATAAGAGTTATTTTATTTTCATAACTATCGATAAAACTAAAAGTCTCATCAAAAATTTCTTAGAAAAAACATTTTTTGAAAAATTTCTTTTATGATTATTAACAAAAATCTCACGTTGTTAAATTTTGAGATACTTACTGTTGCAGTATAAGTGACGATAAGTATATTACTTCTGGAAAGTTATCTATTATGAATATATAATTATTTTTATCGTTTTTGTGCTCTCCTAACCAATAATTTTGTACGTTAAATGGTTGAATGTACAGTGTTTCTGTGACATCACCTGTAAACATATCATTGTTAACATACACAGGTTACACTTCTTGTTCGTCATGAACCCGTTTTTAACTCGTTCTAACAGTTATTAAGATGATGTGGGAATTGCAATCAAGATTCATTTATTTCTTGGAATATAATTTACATATAAAGTGGGGATAAATAGATTATTAACCTATACTGATTGATGCAGTTTTAACTCATTAACGTCAATGCCATTTGTATAAACCATAACGTCACAATTAGAATTGGTTAATAATTGAGTTCGTTATCTATTAGTTTGCGCAAACTGTTCAATCGTTACGGCGGTGATCGTATCGCTGCGGTTTATTTCTTTTACAAATTGTAATGTTTGTATAATTATTTCTATGAACATAGTTTTTTCGTAGTTAACACGTAATCACCTATACGTGTATGGATTTGACGATGTGAAATGGCAAAGTACTCAAAGACAATGCCTATGACACAAGGTGAGATTACTAACACTAGCTCCAAGATTTGATTATACAATGATTCACGAGTAAAAGTCTGTAGTATAAATTGGATGCGTTTCTTGTGTAACATTAGTGCAATTATAATAAAGGAAATGCACAATGCAATGAATTGTTCTTCAATTTATTAGCTTGTTTAAATCATGTACAGTTTTCTAAAAAAAAACACACCGTCTTACCAATTAGGTCATACTTTTCGTTTTGATATTCCTTCAATATAAAAGTATCGTTAATTATTTTTTTCAAATGAATATGACTTGTCACATAATGTGAGACATTGAATGATATTATTAATTTCTGTTTATCGGTCGATTTTACAGTTTGCATCAAGTGCTGTTATTTCATGACCTTGACGGTTATTAATCGTCAAGGTGCAATATACAGATGTTCTTGTGTGCTGTAGTTTATTAAATACTTTAAACTTCATTCTATTTACAAATATTACTTTACGGAATAGGATTTATTGCACATAAAATATATTCTTGTATATTTTTTTGCATACTTTTACGTAGTTTTTAAAACGCTAATTATCCACGTCATCTATTTTATTATGTTTCTTTCGTTTTTTTTTACTTTGAATTTTTCTATTTAGTTCTAAGTAATTTTTTCAAATATTATTCATTATAATATGATTGTTTTATGTTAAATTATGCCTATGGAAATTAATCAACAATATAAGGACGGCGCTAAAAATTTCCTGCGAAATTATTTTCTGTGCTCTTAATATATTATTATTTTATGAACATATTTTACTAAAAATTCACAAATTTTACTTAAAATAGATTCTTTTTTTATCTCCAACATACTTTGTGACATTTCGTGCGGGGTACACCTTACACTCACCTAGCACCCTTAAAATAATGTACATACTTGATCCAAAAGAAGGATAGGTTGTCTATTTCAATAATACTTTAAAATTGAAAGATAGATTCTATTTTTTTTTTTTTTTGAAAGTTATCTAAATAATTTAAAGTTAAATTCGCTGTAAAATTCGAAAGTATAGTTTTTTTTAAAATTATTTTATGTTGTGAAAGTTGATTCATTTACTACCATAAATGGAATTTAAAAACTTTTTATGTTGTTAATAAGGCAAACAATTATACTTAGAAAATATAATTTTTAAGGAAATATAATAACTTAATGCTCTAGACAATTTGTAGACTTACCCTGTAATTCTGCTTTTTCTTTTACTTTTACATAGTAATTTATCAAGTACTTCCTGATATAATAAACCAGTTTTATTCGTATTATAATTTTGTACAACAACTTAGACAGCAATTAGTAAGTTTATGAGCCTATATTGTAACACATAGAAATAATTAGTTCGTCAAATTGTCTTAAATTACAAATATATAATGAAAATTTTCAAAGAAAAATAATTTAATTTGAAGGTTTGCAACTAATTATCCGTGACACTAAATGTTTAAACATTTTTAATTAGTTCATTTTAATTGTTTTTTTAAATAAATGTGTATGTATGCCTAACAAATTAATATCAATATTGTCTAGTATACAGTTATTGTTTTAGTGTACTTCTTAATTAACATTTAATTGCTAGACATAAACAGGAATGTATATTTCATAAATTGCGCGATATCAAAATGGCGACACTGAATATTTAATGTATATTTTTTAATAATATTTCTCATTTTACTAGTACAATAATTTCAATTATGTTTTAGAATTCATATTAAAGAATTACTGGTTCTTTATTCTAAATTTATATTAAAAAAATTACGTACATGATGTCCTGGAGGCTGTTTTTATCTAGTAATTCTTAATAATTATAATATTGATTTATTAAAATATTATAATAAATAATATGTATGCATTTTTGTGTATATCATATTATATATGAAATATGTTAAACAATTTTTAATGTTAATTTTATGGACAGATAGTTTATCTAAGAAATGCATATTTTTACAATATTTTAAGTACAGACAGATTATTTATCAAACTTATGTTATGAAAATTATTTTTTCTTTAATGAACACCTACAATTTTAAATTGCAAAAAGTAATCAGTAATAGTAGTAACAGTAATACTATAAGACCTTTTTGGTATTAAATAATTGCTGGTAAATGATTATTTTACAAAAGTAGCAAATTTGTTGAATAAAAAGTGACAAAAATTATTAAGTCGATGTGGTGATTACTGAAATATTAACTACTTATGTTTCATTTAAAACAAATTAATTACATTTGTTTTTTGTAGTATAAGTATTACCATAGTAAAATGCCGTGAATTATTTTAATTATTAAATATAAAACAAATTTTATTTAAAAAATATTTATTTTATTCGTTATAATGTAATTTCTGTTTTTTATTACTAGTAGTAATAAGTTACAATAGTAGTAATTTACTACTATTGTAACTTATAATAAGATATTATATAAATTTGAAAAGTTTTTTAGTACCAAATCGTAAATACGGTCCTGTGGACAACTCAATTAAAATAATTGAACTATAAATAATGTTTTTTTTATTTTATAAATTAATGTTATGCCAAAATATGTAATAATTAACCAAAATGTATTTTATAATGTATTATCATAAAAATACATTTTGGTTAATTGTTACATAGATAGTTATTAAAAATCTTTTCTTATTTTTTATTTCAGTTAGGTGCAGGCGTTGGCGGTTGTAAAATTTGCAACCAGTCCGTGTTCCTTGCCCAACGTCTGCTCATTTCTGGCCACTTATTCCACCGAACGTGTTTCAAGTGTGCCCGTTGCGGTGCCTTACTTAGTGTGGCTAACTACTACGAGACCCAAGACGGTAAGTATTGCTGCGAAACGTGTCCGGACGAAGAACGTACAGCAGCGGCCTCTAATGGGGCCGTTGCCATTACATCCAATGATCATGGGCATCAAGGGTCTCTAGTGGGAAATCGCAGGGCGCTGTTTGAGACACTGGCATCGTCTGTAGATTGTACTGATGACGTGAAAGCGTCAAAAAAAATGCAGCGACCGGTCACTCTCAATATGCCTCACCAAAATCAATCAGAATTTCTGCAGCCGAACGTCACAGCTAAGGAAGCGGTCACGATTTTGACTGTAGTCAATACTAGTGACGATAACGATAGTGGAGTTATGGTTGGTGATAAAAAAGAAATTGATGCTGTCGATAATAAATTGTCTGTTAGCATTTGCGGAAGTCATGAAAGCCTTTCAGATCCCATCTTTGATGAACCAAAAAAGGAAAATTTGGCTACTATTATTGCTGAAGTTGTTAATGAAAAAAAAGATGACGACTTTGTTGTTATAGTAGAACCAATTGAATTGTCGATTTCTCATCAATCTACCAATGAAGTCCTCGAAACGAACAATTTAAATTTAACCTCTTTACCTGATGACTTAGAAGTAGAATTAAAGAAAGAAATTGATGAATCTGAATTGTCCGCAAATAATTCATTGAATAACATTCAACATTCTTTGTTACCAGACGACTTAAAACAAAAGGCTCTCCTTGAACAATCTCCCGATGAATCTCATCATAAACAATTAGCCGAGTCTCCAGAAGAACTGGAAATTAAGACTTTGACCAATAAGTTACTTAAAATGGATTTCTATGAGAGCAGCAACAAGGAGATGCTGCCAGTTCCTAGTCCTAGAAGGAGAGTAATATCTCCATCAATCAGTACTACTAATTATTATCCTGATAACCTGAATCCATTTGATGATGACGAAAATGATGAAAATAACATAGACACCCATAAAGATAAACATAACACTAGCACAAATCCTTTTGGGTCTGATTTAGAAGATGATGATGATGATGATAAACCAGTGATTAAAGTATCTAGTTTAAATCCATTTTCCAGTGATGAAGATGAAAACATAACTGAAACTCAACCTCCTCAAACAAAACCTAGGTTAGTTGTCTTTTTTAGATTTGTTGTGTGTTAAAAATTATTTTATCATAAACATAATGGTGTTAATTTTATTTTAGAACGGTGTTATCTCCAGTGGTAAAACCTCATAATAAAACCCATCGGAAACATAGTAGTGCCTCAAGTATATCATCTTACTCGACCACTCCTCGTAAGAAAAAACCTGCTCCCCCACCACCTGTATCAGCTAGACCATCAATTGGAAGTGTGGATTACACAAATAGTAATATGCATCGTGTGTCTTCCCCTAACAGTTATGAAGATTCTAGCTGTAGTGGAAGTGAACCCTCTTATTCTACTACAAGTAATAGTGATAGATATAAAATGCACAAGAGTACACATGGAAAGTGGAAACGAAAAAAAGGCCCTGCTCCTCAGTGCCCAATACCACAAAGGAGACGTATAAAGCCAATGCCTATTGCTAATATAAAACAAGAATTATTGGACATTGAAATAAAACAACAAGAATTAGAAAGGCAAGGAGTTAAATTAGAAAAAGATATAAGACTTAAATGTAACGAAGGTATTATAGTCAAATTATTAATGTAAAAGGTATTACAGTAAGTTTTTTGGATTGTCTATATTTTAGATTTGAACAATGTTGATGTAGAAGAAATGGTGTTGCAGTTATTTGAGTTAGTTAATGAAAAGAATGAGCTGTTCAGAAAGCATGCTGAATTAATGTACTTGTAAGTAGATAAATTTAATTTTCATAAAAATTATCATTTCTATGGCCAATATGATTTGTTAAGGAGAAGACAAAATAATTTAGAAGAAGAACATGCTGAGTTGGAGTATCAAATACGAGTATTAATGACAAAACCTGATCATACTAAAACTGACACTGAAAAAGCACGAGAAGAAGAACTTATACACCGGTAGATATACAAAATATTTCTTTATATTGGTTCATGTTAAATTATTAAATTATTTTTTTTTAGACTAGTAGAAGTTGTAGAGAGACGCAATGAAATAGTAGACAGTTTGGAGAAAGATCGACTTCGAGAAGCTGAAGAAGATCGCAGTGTTTTTAACCAAATTGGAACTTTTGCTCAAGGTTCAAAATATATCCATCGTATTGTTTACTAATTAAAAAAAAATTTTGTTTGGCATCATTAGAGGTTTGCGGAATGCAGTATTGTTCGTTTGTTTAAGGTGATTGCATGTGAATGATAAAACATCTGCTTCTTATCATTATTCGAATTAAAATTCATAATAAATGCATTATTAATGGCTTCATATTTCAATATTGCATGCTTTCTACTTGTATATTATTTGCTTTGTGTAGTCATGACAGAAATAATTTTCTACAATTTTGCTTATGTGAGAGCTTAGTAATATGTTTCTCAATTTCGGTTCCTTTTTTTGGTTAATATAAGGATAATAATAGGTTTCTTAAAAAATTAGACCTATCTTTCAAAATGTGTATTCAAAAATATTACTGCTTATGTTTTCTGAACAAATAATATTATTTAAATGCTTTTTTCAGTAAAATTTATAATTTTGCTTTAAAGTATTAGTAAGCAAGTGCAACTTAACCATCTAAAGTTAAAGTTATTAAACTTTTTATAGATAATAATTGTTTTATTTTGTATTTAATAGTTGGAGTATAATGATGAAACTAATTTAAATAGTATTTAATTTATATAAAATTTTTGCTAAACCAATATAAATTCTATTAAAGTATAAAGAGAGTTCTAAGTTATATTTGATTTGTTATTGTTATTATTAAAATTGCATTAGGCATTATCAAAGAATTTGTTATATTTTTATTATGTTAGTTAAACTATTAAATTTAAATTTTATATGAGTTTTTAATAAGTACTGATATTATGCGACATTAATATTTTTAATATAATTAAAGTATATATTTAAATACTTAAAAAATGTAATGTAGTCCTGAAATGTCTCAATATTAATTAAAGCTTAGAGTAGACACAACACTGTTTTACCTCAGCCACACACCACTTGCTATCAATGAACCTATTGTGAAGTGTATTGAGTTCAAGCTAGATTACAAGTTTGCAGAGGTCTAGCAGTAAAGTTTGTCTTTAACTCCTTGAGACACGTTTTCTATTTGCTGTACTATGCTTCTTCTTTTTCACATTATTTCTGGTACACTTTCAAAAGTGGTTGTCATTATATAGCAGTTATGTCAGAGTCAATCATTTTTTAATTCTCTGAGACATTTTGTTTAGATAAAAATATTAAAAATAATATTATATTATATTAATATTTTATTACTAGATAGAGTAAAATATTTAACATTTTATATGAGAATTGCATGAATAATATTTTATGAAAAGTGCTATGACCTTTAGATTTGTTTGTGCTTTGTTGAACTATACATTGTATGAAAAATTGAATCTTTTACCAAAGGATAATTTAGATTTTAATTAATTTAAAAATATATTTAAAAAATATTTCAAAGTTAATGTATTTCTCCAATTAGCAAAAATAATGATATAACTAGAAAAAATATTAAGTTTCATAGAAAGTCTAACTAAACTAAATCAACAATATTGTAATATTTAATTAATTTTTACAAAATTTTCTCATTGTTACTAAATTAATGAAAATTTTGTATTTTGTTATTATGTTGATTCAAAAAAACAGAAAAATATTTAGTTGTGTCACTATTTTTGTTAATAAAAAATACATATTAATTAAAACATTTTAATTGGTAATTATTTAGTGTTATTAAGAAAATATTTTTTTACTTCAATGTATACTAAAATTTCAAAATAGTTTTCTTTATTTCTTTAATTATTTGATTTTTTAGATGAAACATTGCCATGTAAAAAAACTGAAGATTTATCAATTGTGGATGGCAAAAAAACATTTTCTAGAAGAATTCTGAAGAATATTAAAATGATGAAATCAAAAAAAGATAAAGACTCTAAGAATGTATCACTTTCTCAATCACCATCTATATCATCACATAGCAAAGGTACACTCAAAAAGTTTATATCACTGGGACATTCATCAAAAAAAACGTTTAGATCAAAGTTAAGTTAAAACACTTGGCAACTATTTTTGTTTGTAAATAAACTTATTTTAAGACATTAAAATCTCAAGAAATTATATTGTGTCACAATTAAAATTACATCAAGCTATTATTATCTTGTATATGTATATTTTGATCTATCAATTAACATATCTTTACAAAATATTAAAATAATATGATATAACATAACTTCTACCATGTTTATTCTGTTAAATTATTTTTATAATTTATTGTTAATCATTTATATCTTTCTATTAAATACAAATTAATGTTGTTTTATGACATTAATGCTCGCTAAACAGAAATTTGTATGAAATTATGCTTATGTAATGCCATTTATATTTTTTGTATAAATTCCTATATTATTTTGTTGTATACTGAACATGATACATAGGAAATGTATTAAACAGTATACTAATTATTTGTTTAATTAAATATGACTAATTATGTATTTATTATAGTAAATATTCATTTTTGTTTTAATATGTTTATAAACGTTTGTAATTTATCAAAAAAAATATTGTATTGAAAATAAAAACTTTTTATTCGTTTATGATATAGTATTACTTCCAAGCTTTAGTTAGATTTATATTTGTATGAATAATATAAATTACTTTTTTAGCCTCTAGAGTTATATATTTAACTATAGAAAAATTAACTAAAGCTTCATTTGTATATTTATTCATATTTTAATTTAGAGGTGTCTGAGGTGGATTTAAGTATGTTGAAACTAAGAAATAATAAGCGATACTAATCAAACAACTCGATTATTTATTTGTGAAATGAAGTGGTATATTTCAACAAAAACGATTATCAGTATCCTAATATATTAATATATTATACATATTTATATATATATATATATATATATATTAGGGGGTCCTTATTTTTCAACTTCATAAATTCAGAGTCATGGGCTCAAAATTTCGTTAGGTTCACTGAAAAAATGAAACTGATAAAATTTGAGTACAATAAGTCAACCCCTTCACGTGCCTCAAAGGGGTTGAAGTTCTTCAAAAATGGGGTGGATTTTCCTTTTTTGAGTGTACGCTCTTTATTTTTGAAGTTTCGCCAAAAACACGAAGAACAATTTTTATAGAATTCAATGTGAACAAAAAATTAGGTAATATATTATTTTTTTGTAAGATTAATATTTTTTCGTAAAAATAAAAAAAAATTGGTTTCATTTAATTTTTTTAAAAAAATTACAGTTTTCAGTTATACTTTTCTAGTGTCTTAAATTTTAATTGTACGCAGAAATTGTACAGAAGTAATATTAATCACTATGATATCTTCTATAAAAAAGGTTATTTGAGTTTTTTTCGAATTATGAATCCTTTCCAAATAAAAATTTAAAACAACTACGAAAGCGTGTTTTTTTTTTTTAATTTTTTTTTGCATGTATGTTTTTTTGTTCATAAATTAATAAATTTTCTTAGTTATATTAAATAAAAAAAAAAAAATAAGAAACACAATAAAATAATAATTGTAATAGATGAGTGTTTAAGATTTTGGAGAAAATCGCGTATTCCTACACAGTTTTCTTCAGACTGTGTTATTAAATTAAAAAAATTGTATGAGAAATGGAGAAAGTTGGAAAAAAATAAATCTAGAAAAACAGAAACACAAGAACAACATTATAATATTTTTTCTGAAGAATTAGACAACCTCTTTGACATTTCTCATATCGAAGCTCTGAATATGATGAGTGTTGAAGAAGACAAACAGTTTTTATTGTCACAATTTAAAAATGGCCGCTCATGGTGCATCATTGGTATTGATATGAAGTTAACAGGTAATGAAAAACGTAAAATTACTCGACAAGAAAAAGATGATCAAAAGAAAAAAGAGAAGTTAGAAATCGCAAATTGTACAGGTAATTATTAAATATTACACAATAATTTCAGTACATTATAAGTAAGCAGTTTTTATATACCGAAGTATTTTATTATTTAGCCGAAACTCGATATTATAGCAGCTCTAGCTCGGAGGACGAAGATATTGATATGGAGGAAAACGTTGAATAATGTGTCAATTACCTGGGCCTTCAAAAGAAGTAAATGCACTAGAAGATATATGTTGTTTTGTAGTTGAATGTTGTATTAAAATGTGATTTTTAGCTGCGAATATTATAACAGCTCCTATAAATGATTTAATATTATTAAAAAAGCTTTTAAATTACAGTAATAATAAACTAGGAGAAGTAGCTATAAAAAAATCTATAAACCATTTATGATATTTAAATGATGAGTGTGCTGTGTTTGTCAAATAAAGAAAACACAGCACACTTCGGTATATAAAAACTTAATTTCTTAAAAAAAAATTTTTCTTCTATAACTAAGGACCACCCTAATATATATATATATATCAAAAATCACTGTTATCTACCTATATCTAGAAGGCAACAATTTGTTCTTTAATTGATTCATAAAATAACTGGTATTCTAATATATGTGTATAAATAAATTTAGTAATATTATCAATTCCTACGTCGATTGAGTTACTCATTAAATTTTTATCAAATGTTGCTATAATATTAGATAGTTAACTAGTTGGAATAACATTTGTCTTATGATTAGTAGTAAACGAATTATAGCAATTATCTTTGAAGTCTGAGGAAAAAATCAATAAATAAAATAAAACCATCATGTATTATTTTCTTATAATATAATATATTATTTTACTCTTAAATAATTTATGTTGCTTGTTATTATTATAATCAATATTTTGATATCAATAGACATTATTTTAAAATGGTAACTTTCAACTTTTTATTACATTTCATTTATAAACTCAACTGTTGGACATTATAATACATAATTTTTACTATATTTAAATAATACGATTTGAACCTTTAAAATAGATATTTCACTTGGTAAACAAGTTTACAATACTTCTATAAATTAACTATCCAGTAATAAAATTCACGATACTAGCAATCATGTTATTACCAATTTCATTAATTAACAAATTTTTAATCAATTAATATTTGATTCTAAAGAATCCAGCACAATAATGGAATTTCTCACATAACAAATGATAATGGATAATAAAATAAAATAAAAAATACATGCTATTTTTACTTACGATAATAAATTTAACACTTAAATATATTTTTATAATTACTTATATCATAAATAATAAAAACAATATACAAATTGTATTAATTTAATGCAAAATAAAAAATGGCTTTTATTAAAAAAGGTTAAAAACTATTTAAATTTAACTAACACTTATTGCAAATTAATAAATTATTTTAAGAATTTTGCACAGTCTAATTCTTAAAACGATCGTTTAACACTCTACTGTGTACAATTTTTACAACTCCCTGTATACAATCATGCCCTATCATATCATAATATTAATATAGGATCTTAGTTTTAATTGTAGAGTAAACTTATAAAATGAAAAAAACTGTTTATTTTTAATACTACTGAATAGTAAATATTATTTTTATATAAATTATAAAAAAAAACCATTTTTAATGTTCTGTTTTAATAAAAAATAATATCTGTCATAAAACATTTATTAATTATGGTTATTATTATAAATAATATATCTTCATAATCATATATCACAAAAATAAATTGTGATAATTCCATAAACAATTACAAAAACTATAGTAGTTTTAGTATTATTTGTTAAGATTGATAATAGCTAATTTACTTTTAAACTAATACCAAACTATTTTATGTGTACAAATAAAGAGGTTTGGGCATTTACAAAATTTTTGTTGAAATCAAGTCTATTAACACTTTTTATTTTAAATATAATGTTATTTAGAAAATAAAAATAAAATAATAAAGAGGAAAGAACACGATATTTATGGCCTTGTGTATCGAAAATTTTAAAGTCAGCTATATCATGAATATGTTAGTTGGTCAATAATTAATTTATTAACTTAATTAAGTTAATACATTAATTATTCACTTTTTAGTTTTATATATTAATTATATTAAGCTTTTTAAAAAGCTAAAAATGGGTTTTTGTACAATTACAAGTTGGGTTGATTTGGTTAACCAAACGTAAATACGCGTTAAACAATGAAAAATCAATATTTACTTTGATATTTTATTAAATTTAACATAAGACTTAATGATAGTTTTATATTTTTAAGCGTAAATTAAATATACATTTATTTATATTCATTTTCTTAAAATTATATCACGGTAATGCAAATTAAAGGCATTCTCTCGAAAGGTTGGGGGGTTGAGTTAAATTTTTAATTAATTGACTAAATTAGCATTTTACCTTCTACTGTATACTTTATGATAGATTTTATAAAGTACAATGATAATAAATCATACATTTACAAAAATATATTTCAACAAAGAGAAAACAATTACAAACTACATCTTAAAAAAAAAATTATTATAAAAATCAAGATATAACGTTATTTTTAAATCTATTCTAAGAATTATCTGACAATTTGAAATTGATAATGTGGATAATTCGTAATTTTTAGAAATCTTGTGATAATATTGTTAAAAAAGATAATTTATTTTATTTGTAGTAAATTAAACTTATATATATTTAAACAAATACATTAGTCTATAGGGGAAATTGTAATGTATTTGATTTTGTTGTTTTATAGTAATAATAAAATAAAATAAATAAAGCCAACTAAGTGACCAATTATATTGATTCAATTAATATTGAAGTGTTAGTTAATTAGTTAAAAGGTTAACTACGGTTTGGTTTGAAAAGTAATTTTTAAACTTACTTGCATATATTTTGGAGACCAGATTATATTTAGCTTTCCGGATAAAGAGAAGCTAAATGAAAGGTTCAAAGACGTAATTACTTTTTGTTTATGTTAACCATCGAAATGGTAAGTTTTATTTTATTATATGTTTTGAAATAAAATATAAGTACTAGATATTTATTTTAGAAATAATCAACAAATTTAATAAAATTTTTGCTATTTTGACCTAGAACCACAGATATATGAATAGATAGCTGAAAAAGGTAAATGTAATTAGAGCAAGCCTTTTTAAGGTAATAAAATGACTATTTTCATTTTTTTTATTTTAAGTTAACACAAAGATCACTTAGTTCTAGTTTTGGTATAGAATAGTATATAATATTACAGCTGATAACGTGTGGTAGAGAGTAAATTTTAAAAATATTACTTTAGTTAATTACTTGTAACATAGTCTTATAATATATGATTACATTTTATATTTCATCGGTATTATTTCAATGATTAAGCGTTATAACAAAATATACCGTTCTCCATCTTTTATACTTATCATTAAACTATCTGTACTTATACTTCAATATATAAGAGTAAGTTAAATAGAGCGAAAACTATAGATATTTTGAATTGTACATTACACCGTAAGCTTACTATTCTTCGCAAATAAATTCACCTCGTTGGACTCTGTACGTGATACGTGATACAACATGTGGATTATTTTTACCTAAGCAAATTTCGTTAAATTCGATTTAATTATACAAATTATATTTTATTCTATTCGTTAACCACATTCATATTTTTTGTCCTATGGACAATACAATTATTTTGCTATCGTAATAGTGTAACCATTAATCATAAATTACCATGAGACGCTGTTAAGTAATTTACTTGACTACATGGGAATTTTTGTGTTTAAAACTACAATAAAAAAAACTACCGTTGTTCATGAATTGATAATTTTTTTTTTTTTGTTTTACGTTGTTTCAACATATTAATTAAGTGTTAAACCCAATACAAAAATTGATCAGTTCATGGTTACCTTTTCACAACGGATAAGAAAAATATTTTATGATGATAATCCAGTCAGATTTGTACATTCTTGTGCTATACAACTGCTATCGTCATTGCTTGACGACAAACTGCTAAAAGCCGGAGAGAAATCTTCTTCGTCGTCGTCGTCATAGGAACAAGACAAGTCTTTTCTTCTTTCGTCTATGAATAGAGTCACACTGGATGAAGATAACTTTTGAATCAGGTCTTTTCTGACTGGCGTATCAGGTTCGGAACTGTAAGATTCGTTTTCTTCAGACATTGCACGGGTAATGAGAATTCGTGGCGATTTCCTAGAGTCATTTAGGATTTTACGTATGAATGCGTTTTGACTGGCCATTATATTACTGTTGAACTTATCATCTGTAACCCTTTCGCTAGTGGATGAAGAGTAACAACGCCTTATGGATCCGTTATCGACTTTTGCCATATCGGCATAATAATTATCAAAGTTCAAACCGTTAGCTGAAAATGTTGTTTTAGTTCGTCGAAGCTGACCTGGTTCGACTAGGCTTACGTTGGACGATCGCCGTATCAGAGGTAACTGTTTGTAGTTGATTGCGACCGGCGTTAGTGACGGTCTTCGAGATCCACAAGTTGATGGTGTTCTTGCTTGTATTTCTTGGTTTATTTCGCATTTGGTCATCATTTTCCTTCTATAGTTTTGATAGGTTTTTTTCAACAATTTGTTTTTGATACCATACAGTAAACCATTACACAGTGTCGATCCTGTTATAAGTGCAAATGATATTGATTTAATGATAGAATCTGTTCTAGGATTTATATTCAGAGTCACACATGCCGACTCATATAAGGATACACTATAATAGGGTAGATAAAAAATAGCTATTGAGCCTATAATTTGGAATACTGCAGAGAATGCGTTGTTTCGGCGGAATTTGTTGGCCATATTGGTCGGCAGAAAGAATGGGTTTCTCTGATGTGTTATTGTCACCTGAGCTGACAACGTGACTTCGAATATGGCTGAGGCAATCCTGTGCCTGTGGTACCTTGCAATAGTAAATACCTGTAACACAAAAATAATTAAATTATCTGGAAATTATTCTTTACCTTAATAATATCATGATATAAATGTACTAATACATTTGGGTAACGTAATATCGACGAGTCAAATGAAATTGTGCCAAATGCTTTGATATTTTGTTGGCATTAGATAAAACTAGTGTTTCGAAAAGAGCACATCTTCTCAATATTTTATATTTACAGGAAATAAAATAAATGACTTTCCTACTGCAAATTTACAATAAAAATCAATCTTGGGCATAATTAAAGAAAATAGGAAATTATTACTATTCGAATAGTATCTATTTCCTATTATGAATATGCACCTAACGATGCTCATTTGATAGCAAATTTTAGTTTGGAAATTGGACCATGACCTATTTCTGAATTAACCATTTTAATATATTATAATCTAAGCAATAATAATTTTAATTAAAAAATCAATTGTAGTGGAAACATATATACATTGGTATGTACTTTAATTGCTTATATCCTGAAATTTTGAAATTTTATGAATAAATTGTAGATTTGACAGTATTAATAACAGTTAACAATATGGACAATTTCTCAAATGAATATTCTTAACATTGACAAATGTATTATATATTAAAAAGGTCGTTTTTTAAATAAAAATGAGAGCAAACTTTCTTTTTACAATTCTGGAATTTAAAAAAAATTACAAAAACATTGATTATGTTGCTTATTATTGTATATATTTACAATCATTAGTATCTAAAGCATTTTCAAATTACATAAATTATTATAACTCCTCATTAAGAATAAGTTCGAGGAAAATAATTTCTCTTTTAAATTTTTGTTCGGGCAATGTTCATATTAGGTTATTTAAAAGTTTAAATATGTATAAATATACCAAAGCGTATTATATGTAACATATTCTCATTTGAAAAAAACACAAAGCTGTATTTTGTAATTTTTTGTTTCATGGAAAATGTGTTTTAAAAACTTTGGCATGTAGGTATATTATTTTTAATTGTTTTAACATTTATCTTATTGCCCGCGTTCCTATAACGTTTTATTAGGTATAATTTTTCAATTACTACAAATAATTTCTATATACTTTGCCACTACTATTTTAGGTATAATGCCGCATAGGTTATTTGAATTAATTGTCTCAAAAGCATTTGACCGAAATTACTATGTTAAGTCTACATATATTAACGTTATGGAAAATATGTTCGTGATATAGGTAAATTTGCAAAACTTTTTAAATTGTTTATACCGAAGATGCCTATTAGACATTAAACCTCAAAACAACGTCAAATGTGGATAGTAGTACTCCAATAGTAACATCTTCGTTATAAATATTTTAAAATATTTCACGGATATATCTTCTTTTATCCTAAGTAAAATTAAAACTATATTAATAATATTTTTAATACAGTTTTAATTTTACTTAATTAATTAGCCACAAGTGATCAATTTTTATTATATTCTTTTATCCTATTTGCATTGCTGTAATCTTGTTTATTTTATTGTAATTAAATTTTTAAATAGTGAGTAAATAATTGAATCTTCGTAGACCGCTATAAAAATACGTTTAACAGAAATTACAATAATTATTAATAGAATTGAAAAAAAAAACAAAATAAGTTTAAGCTTGGAAAGTCTTTTTGAAAAAGCGATAAAAATATTGTGGCGTCTATTTAACTCGATAAGATTGTAGAGACAAAATTCTTGTTGCCTAGAAATTAATTATCATTGTTATTATTTTATTTAAAAACTAACTTAGAGTCAACGCTTACTTCGACAATTTAAAGACTTAAGTTATTCGAAAATATATAATCTTGCAAGACTATGTAAGCTACTTTTATAAGTAGAAACTTTTGATTATAATAGCTTTTTGAACATTAAGTTTGTTTTAGATTAATATTTTTTGACAATGTTTGTAATGTCTAATTATTAATCTATAAAATAAAATAAATAATAGAATTAATCCATCAAATACTGATTTTATGTTCAATTTGATGAAAATATTAATTTTTTTTAAATATTAATAATTATTAACATTAATAGTTTTATATTTACCAATTATTGAATACAAAAATAAAGTAGAGCTTCAAGTGGTCCAATATTTTAAAACCAAGTTAAACCACTTAGAAAAATAAAAGCCAACTCGAAATGTATTTTGTGAAACATTTCGAGCTGGCTTACTAAATTTAAGCGTATTATACTGAAAAAAGTAAAATTCACCAAATTAATAAAAAACATGAAATATTACACACTATTCAAGGGAAAGTCCAGGTTCCCGCACCCCCGCATAAGTTCATAAACATTTTTTGTTTTGCTGAAAAAAATTAGCACCATAATAACTCAAAAGTATTTTCAAAATGCTTTATCTAACTATGACATGAGTGTAGATCTTTATATTCCTAAATACAGCCTTGATTATTTAATTCGATATTAATAAATTAATAAATTCGAGTTTGAAACAATTTTATTGAGAAGAAATATAATAATTTAGGCGTATCAATTTTTAGGTGAATCTGTTTTAATCCAATGGACTAATATTTTGCCGATAAGATTGACTTTTATCAAAATTTGTATTCAATTTTATCGGTTAAATGCATTATTTTTTATATTTAATAATATACTTTTAACAACATAAAATATTAGACTTCTTTAGAAAAATATTGTTTCATTGCAATTGGATTTTGAGGCTTACTTACTTTTATATTGCATCCTAATATTATGACACCTGGAAGCACTAAAGTGAAGGTTGTATAAAAAATACTGTAGACAATCGTTGCTCGACCTTTGCTGAAGTCTGGCGTACATACAGGTAGTCCTGTTTGGTAAGTGTACGGTACTATTTTGAAAATTGGCGGCATCGAAATCAACAGACACACAAGCCATGTACCACATAGACCTAACATTATTTTTTTGCTGTTTACGAGTGTGCCGTAGTGCAATGGTGCTGCTATGGCATAGTATCTAAAAATTAAAAATGAGAATATAGAACTTGGAACAAATACAGTATATTAGATACTCTGATATTAACGATTTTCTGTTTTGTTTATTACATCAAAAAAAAAATACGAATTAATATTATTATTAGGGCACATTCATTAACTAAGGGCTTTTACAGATTTTTTTTTATTTTGATCCGCCAACTGTTTTGTTCTTGAGTAGTTGTTATAAAAGAAATATTTAATTTATATAAATGTTATACTAATGTGTTGTACGAAATACTAACATTGTATTTTGATTTTATTTACCTGTCGCAATTTAAACCGCACACTGTCCATATGGCAATTGGGTGTAGCAATGTGAATATGAACCCATGGACCGGACATAGCCAAGGTGCGATCGGTTGTTTTATTGTAAACACTTCTGGCAATGCAGAAATTAATACAGCTACACAAACTATTAAATCCACAGTACTCAAATGAATAAGCAGTACGTTTATCGGCGAACTGGTCTGAAAATAATAGTCAATATTATTATACTCTAGAGAGTAGGGCAAGTCTCTTAATATTTGTCATATCCAAAAGAAATATAATTCATAAGTTACAAACAAAATACATTTAAATTACTAATTAATAATTTAAACATCCGAGTGAATAAAACATTTTCAAACTCGTGTTTACGAATATTTAGTTATTTTTTACGATGATCGCTTGTCATTTTATTGTTAAATAAATAAGTATAGGTCCTAATTAATATGTAAAAACTTTTTTTTTCAATTATTATTTTTATGGTTTCGAAATAATTGTCATTAACTCGACAAAAAAAGTTTTAAAAAAATCTTGTTAAAATTTACAATTAATGATTTATTTTTTAAATTAATTGTATAACTAGTACCACACTAGTTATACAATTAATTACAAAACAAATATACCACGATGATATAAAAAGAATATTGACTAAGTTCTACTTGTTTATTTATTATTAAAAGTATGAAATAAATAAATTGAAATTTGTGAACATAGAGATGAATTGAAAATTTTGATTCAGCCTGATGATACTAAAAATGAAAAAAAGAGACAACAATTATTTTAAAATAGAGTATGAGTAAATTTAACATTGTGAAAAAGGTCATAAGACTAAAAACTGTTAAAAGAATAGAACTTTAAAAGAGTATATTTAAGTCTTTACGGGTACACGTAAAAACAAAGCACGGATAATATCACGAATGAAGAATGCTAAGTTAAGGCATCATTAATTTCTATTGTGTTTTATTGTTTTGGTTTTTTTTTATTTTTATTGAAATGTGTTGTAATGTGGCTAAGTCGGTAAACTTGAAGTTGATAACATTTTACAAAAGAATCAGTAAACTTTTTATGTCCTAAGTTGTTTAAAAGACACTTTAAATATCTTTAACAGAAAAGTAAAATGATACTTAATATGTTAAATGCGCTCTATTGAATTATTTAAAAATTGTATCCAATTCTTTTGCAAATAATGATGCCAATAAAACATATCGAACAGACAAATGTTTTCGTAAAATAGTATATGTGACCCAAAATAGTGGAACTTCAACGACGGACAATAATTATGTATAAATGATACAATTTGGATTGAGTCTTAAAAAATGTTCTCATATATAATATAAATGGGAGAAGTTGTATGCTAAAATTACAGTTTTAACACAAAGCTTCATTCTAAAAAGTATTTTTTTTTTATTATTAAAATGTAACTTGCCTTTTATAAAAATTATATAATATTTCTTTATGCATTTGTCAATGCTCTTCATTAATGTATTGATATAACTTTTATTATCATTAAATTTTTAGGTATTCGTGATTTTTAAGAATGAGCAAAATTTTAAGGTGTTAAATATCAAATGTCAGCATCAATTTCTTTATTTTCGCTGAAAAATAATTTACCACATTCGATCAAATAAAATGTCGACCATGAGTAATGTGATAAAGTAAAATACGGTTGTCAATAAGAATATTTTTTAACATAGTTATTCATAAAATACATATCGAATTACTTAAAGAAATTTCATCCATTTATTGTTATGTTAATATATTATTTAAATGAGCTACTGATTTCATCTCTACATTAGAAAAATATTTCATCAATATTCTAATGAGGTATGATATATTTATTATATGTGTTATAGTTTTATTGTAGCATTTAAGGGTGTGTCATTATTTATCTTCAAAATACAGATTTTCTTTGATCTTAGTATAAACGTATATTGTAATGTTGAGAAACTAATTAACTAGAAATATTACATTGTATAATATTTTACATGTATACATATTCCTATGAATTTAATTTACGTTAAAAGTAAATAGTGTTAGGGTTAAGATTGGAAAAGTATAGATGTGTATATTTACACCCCAAAATCTTAAAATACAAATAAATTTTATACACAATAGAAATTAAACACATGCCCAATAGCAATTGGGAAATTATTTAATATTTCAAATATTGAACTGTAGTTAAAGTACTTTATCCTTGTTCTAAAAATTAAATATTGATTAAATTGTTCAAAACTTAAACATAAAGAAAATTTTCTATGAAAAAACTATTTGTTCGTATTTTTATGAACTTTATCATTAATTTGTACTTATTTTTTTATGTGAAATTTATACTACATATACGTGTTTACGCTTTTAAATAATCTGATAAGTTTACAGTACATTTATATTAGTTGACCAATTCCGAATAGAAAATTTATGAGTCTTTACGAAACATTATTATAGCTATGTGAATGGTAATACATAAATGTACTCCATATTTTTTATGGGTTCATAATTTAAAAATAACTTGAATTTCTGTAGCATTTATAAAAATAATAGTATAGTATACTGACATACGTTTATGTAGAGGCTTTAGGCATTTGAAGGTTAATAATGTCAAAATATGACTATTACTGTTTTCATAGAAAATAAAGTTGTACAATGAAATTATCGATGCAATTTAATTACTCATATAGGGTAGATACACTTGTAAATTAACCAGTAAATAGTATTTTTTATTTTAAAAGTTGATACTATTTAATTTATTAATAGAAAAAAATAAGTAATATTTTTAATGAGTCGCTCCCTAAATAAATTACTAAATTTAAATTATAGCTTTGGTTAAATTTGATGAAGAAATAAACTCGGCATTTAAAATTTTTAAATATAAAAATTAATCAATACATTTTACAATTAATGAAACTTTTTCAAATATTTAATTAAAAGTTAAAAACAGTAATATTGCAATTAACTTTTGAATTATAAAATAAAACTTTAATAAAATGACTTTTAAATACGTGTGGCTTAGATATATCTAAAACTATTTAGTTAGAATCCCAAAATAGTTTTTAATATTCTAGTTAGAACCACGGTGAAAAACTATTCAAAAAACATTTTTTTAAGTTCATCTATCTCAAATTTTTTAACTTTACAAAGAAAATTAATATTCAAGCAACTTGATTAAAATAAAATGACGTGTATATTTTTGGAACTTTAAATAACTTTGCAGTTTTTGACTTTATAAATTTATCTTAATTAAATTAGTGAAAAAAAATATTATATTTCAGCTTAAAATATATTTATTAAAATTTAAACGAAAATAACTTATGCGCTATAATTAATTTTTTTCTTACGTCTATCAATATTTAAATTTTACCCAATGTAGAGATTTACAAAAAACCTAAAAAATAATTTCCCTAACCAAGTACCTATGTAGTAGTTGAAATATTACAGTTTTAAGTAATTTTGAAGGTTGACAAATACGTTAGTGTGGTTTTTCAAATTTATTGTTAATATATCATTTCAATTAATATTACATATTCGTACAATAGATATGTCATTAAATGCAAAACTTATTTACAATAAAATATTTCTAATATAATTTTGAAAAACTAACTAATTAAACTTAAATATTAAAAATAAAAAAAAACAAGGCCAAATTTTTTCATTCAAATAAAAGTATATTTCTTGTTTAACTTTGAAAAATTTGTTTTAGTTAAAAATTTTAATAAATGTTTCCAAACTTATTTTTTTTTAACATTAACATTGTTTTAACTAATATATGAAATATTTTGCTTGGAGAAAATTAAGATATTTACACATGTAATAAAGTTTAAATTTTTCACAAATATTTCCACTAAGACTATGTTATAAGAAATATTTAAAGAAAAAATATACATATTTTATAATTTTGACCCTGAATTGAATCAAATTTAAAAATTAAAATTTCCTATGATAAAACCCTTTAAGTCTCAATATTGGTTTACTAAGTATAAAATGGAAATAATTATAATGTGAAGCGCGCACAAATATTGTGTAATGAATATACATTATTTATTCTATAATTAATAGTGGATGTACTGTGTGCATACTTAATACAAAATACAGTTTAGTCAACTTTATACTCTCAAGCATTTACTCTATTTTATAAGAAAGTTAAAGTTTAGATATTTATGACTAGTACGCTCCTCACTAAATTCCGCACACCTAAATTATCTAATGAGTATAATTAAATTAGTTATTTAAAGACTATTGTTGATAATGTTATACTTTGTGTATAGGAATACAATTTCATTATATCATAAAAAAAAAATAAAATAACATTATAGTTTGTGATGATATAAATTTTAAATAACATTATATTCGAAAATAAATTGTTTTTAAATTAGTATCGAAGCGTTTTTATATCACTATTAAAAACAGTATCAGATTTCATTCTACACTAATTTCATTTTTGATAATTCTCAACTTTATTGTGTTTTTGATACTTATATTAATCATATAAGTCAATGGAAATTAAAAAATTACCCGTTTGGTGAGTAGAATGACTAACAAAACGTATCCGTTTACGATAGTGGCTAGTGCTGCCACTCCACTGACTACCAAGACGGTCACCAACTCTTGACCGCCGTTCATCACTCAGCATCACCTGGTTATGAAATCCACATCATTCTGAAACTGAGAAAAAATAATAACTGATTAGATAATTATTTTTTGCGAAACAATAGCTCTTTCATATCTAAAGTACGGTAAGATTTCCTTAATCCAAGTTAGTAAATAAATTCTGTCATAAAATTCAGTTATCCATGATAAATAATTCAAACATGTAACAGATAATTTAAAACATACCGAGATAAACGCAATAAAATGACCTATTAAAAACTTATATAAATTCAGAAAATAAATGAATTAATTCCCACAAAAATTAATAAAATCAGTTTACTTAAAAACTTTGATCTACATAAAGGGTTATCCGCTATGTCTGCAAAAGTATATGATAAAATATCAATTTTTATTTTCAGAAGTTACGAGTATCTTTGCCACTTTGATAACACAACAAATATATAGTTTTATTCCCTCTTTTTTCTATAAAATCGTATCAACTTTAGTTTTTTAAACAAAAAAAAGTTTAGTTTTAGTTTTTAAGTACAAAATCAAAAACTATTGTACTATAAAGCATTATTATAAAGCTGGACAGTTGGATTTCAACATGCGTTTTTTCATATTTTTTTCTTTTTCCGAGATTAACTTTATAACATATTGGTTACGCGTTATTTTCGTTGATGATACTAAAAAAGAAATCGTGTAATCCGGAAAATGTATGACTCATAATTAAAGAAGTATTTTTTCCGTGTAAAAATGTATCTTGTCATTTTTGACGCAACTTTACAGCGAGCATATTGAATTATTTTTAAAAAGCATGTAGAGTGAGATATAATAAATTTATTAAGTATTAAAAATGAATCAAATATTAATGAATACATATTTATTATTATTTTTATCACATATGTGATAAAAAATAGAGTAATGTGTAATGATAAAAACAACATATCCAACATGACACCTCTACCTCTAAAATTAAAATAGTTATAACTTCCAAAATAATTGGTGAAAAGTTGTTATCGTCCAGTCATTTCTTTAACTATATCTATTTTATAAGCAAGTTAAATATGTATGTTGCCATTGAAATAAATTAAGTAGAGTAGTTATTAACGTTTATATACCTTGGCGGAAGGAGTGTGCCCGAGAAAATTCTTCTTTTAATTAGATCATTATCTATCAAATAAGTAAGTTAAGTATATGTATTGTTATTTGAAAATTAAATTTGACACTCTTATATGGTATGAGGAATGAGTATAAAAAATATTTTTACATAGACAGATTGAGAAAAACCTGAAACTAAAAATAACCAATATAAAAATCAACAATATTATTTTAATGTTTTGTTCAATTAAGTTTTTCATGATAAATGAATCACTTTTGATACTGTAGTTAATTTTATGAAAAAAGTTATATACAATCTCTCAACTAATCTGTTCACCTAATTACGTCTCGTATTATATTAACCTAATACTATTTAATGTTGTGACTTTTAAAAGATAATAGTCCAGGATAGTAAAAACGTTGTATACATGTATTACACCTAATCTAGTCTGCAATAAAACTTTAACATAAATAATAATTTGTCTGTGCATAAAATTATTTACTAAATTTATATCAATTTGTTTAGAAGCGATATTAGTTACATATATAAACATTATAAATAAAAAAGCTAATTAAATTTTTGAAAACATATTATGATCATATTTATGAAATGCTTGAATTTATGTCGTGTATTTAATATTTTATCTTCTAGCTACATGTTTATAAATTTATAAATAACGAAAACTTCGCTTGGAATGAAAATTACGTAGAAAGTATTTTAAACTTGTTACAATAACGAAAGGTCAAAAATATTATAAATAATTAAATAAAAGATAGTTTTTATTAAATAGTTTTAAAAAGTTTAGTCGAATACCAAAAGATATTTGTTCACAATATATAAATATTATGTATATATTTTGAACATGTGATGCGCAACAATAATTGCAAATATTCTGTTATAAAAAAACTTTATGAAAATGACATATAAATTTTATTTGGGGATATTGTATATGTCTAGTAGTATTTGTTTTGTTTTTGAGTCTTGGCTTCAATGCCCTCAAATCACAAACCAAAAATCTTTAACATATTTTTTATTGTAATGAGAAATTTCGTTTTACTTATTTAATGTTTGTTTTCTTGGATTTAACATTAAACCCAACTCAACTAAACAGATGTTCGATGTTTATTAACTTTAAACAATTAGCTACGTTTTTTTTTAAGAATCTTTATCGATGATAAAATATGAACTGACAGTTAATAGTTCTAAATAAAATAAGCATCTCTAAAAATTGCCAATGCACATATTGTGCGTTTTACGTGACCAGTATAAATTTTAAACAACAGTCTTAGAAAATAAAACTCGCAAATCTTTTAAAAACAAACCTTAACTAATGAATAAAAGTTTAAAACAAAACTTCTAATCTTACCAGTTATCACTTAATACGTTCTTGTGTTATCATAAACCTAACTTTTCACATATAATTATTTATGAAAACAGAGCTGGAATTTTTAAAATGTACACTGAACTTATGCATAAAAGTTTCTATGTAGTATTTAATCATCCAAATCTGTTAACACTATGTAACTTTATCATATAGGTAACAAAATATGTTACCTACCGCTTTTGTTTTTAATAACAAAAGATGTATTTTATATACTTGTACGTCATTGAAAAGTTACATAGATAAAACACATTTAAATTTCAAAGGAAACCTTTATTTATAAGTATTAGACACAGATGTAAATGAATTTTATGATATAATAAAATTGTTTTAATTAATAGTAATTCGATTACTATTTTAAACATAGAAAAGTAAAAGTAAATTTTCTCTGAAAAATATTAAATTGAAAAATAAATGCCAAATGACTTTTTTTTTTATGTTCAACGACCTCAATGTACGTGTTTTAGTCTAATCATCCATTTTTTTTGCAGTAATGTGTTTACCGTAACTCATAAATATATGATAATAATTCAATGATTGTCCATTATTAGGTTTAAAACACGAATGTAGCTTTTACTTTCTGATGGGACTGACCTGTTCGATAGTTGAAAGCCACTACTCTACAAAAAAGTTTTTTTGTATTGTCTTTTTAAATAATAAATAACATTTCAATATTCCATTGTTTATTGATTTTATACAATTCGTTTGTTTAATCATAATGCAAATTATATTAAAGAGTAATTTATTACATTTATGGTAATAATACACAATGATTACAAATCATATATTATTTATTTTACTATTGCGAAAAAAAAGAATTACACTGTACTTTAAGTTTGTTATTAATTGTATATTCATTTATATACACAAAGTATAGATTAATATATGCAACGAGTACGAACTAAACACTGAGTCGTATCACATTTGTTTGATAATGAAGGTAACAAGTATCAGTAGAATTCATGTTCTAACTCTAAACTGCAAGATATTTGACATAGAAATATTTAAAAAAAAAAAAATTAAGATTCCTATTTTAGAAAACTGAATCAAGATACACGATTGTTGACCAAATACGATTATTATGACTAGATTCTATTCATAAACTTAAATCGACTTACGCTTATGTTTTGTCTATTATTTAATTTTTTCGTCATCATTAAAATATACAATTTTTAAATTTATATAATTTAAGACACTTGTTTCCCTCTGTATTTTACTTTTTATATGTTTTTCATCTGATCATCGATTTATTGTAGGTTTTCGTAAGCCTTTTTAATACAAATTTCAAGGTATTTATTTTTTAATAGCTCTCAACTTAAACACTATTTAACACGTTAATATAAAATTGTTAAAATTCTATTCTTCAGCCAAATAATGCTATACAAAAAATGTATTTTTAATTTAATCTCTAAACAAAGAACGCAACTGGAATATAATCTGTTGAGAATCAATCGCGCATAAGTAATGATGCAACTTTTCATGCTGTAGAAAAGATAAATAAATTTAATCCCATTTAGCAGAATTCCAAGGATTTAAGTTTGATAATTTTTTAATCGAAATTTTTATCTTATACCGAAGTTTATTAGTAATTAGATAAAATGATTTTTACAATTTACAAAGAATATTCAAATAATTTGTTTTGTCGACCGGAAACTCACTCAATTTTACTTTTTATTGTCCGTTTTAAGAACTCTTTGTGAGCATGTTATATAATGTGCTAAATGCTAGTTGGTTCGAATAACAGAATATATTATAATGAAAATGAAAGTTATTATACGTTTTCGCATACTAAAACAAAATGCGTAGTATTATGATATTAAATAAGAAAAGTTATCTTAAATTGGCCATTATACAATATTGTATAGAATTTCTTGACGTGGCAATGAGCTTTTACTTTATTATTACAGCGCAACATCTCATGATTAATGTGAGATTTCGAGGGTTCCAGCAATATTTTTATCACTCAGTACAAACTGTGTGTTTAACAAATATATTTTTTTACAGTTCTATATTTCATAAACAAACTACAATGACCGTGGAATTTGAAACTAAAACATTTGATCAAAGTCATATTTTTATTAACCTGCTTTGTCGATGTTATATTTCTCTCTATTAATCCTTGTCTAATTATTCGAAATATTAGAATTTCAGCGTTAAACATACAATGAACAAAATTCGAAGGTTTTTTGTGTGCAAAACTATTTAAATTCCTGATATTTAACCGGTTTGACCATGTATTAAAGAGTTGTTTAATTTATTTGTTAAGTATCTATAATAAGAGTTTGCCTAAATAATAGCTGTTTTACTATTTATTAGGCCGACAATGCTTATTATGTTTGAATTAATTCATTTAAAATCTTTTTTATTTAAATTACATGATTATTTATTAATTATACTTTTAATACAGGAACATTCAAATGTCCTAATTAACCTTCTAAAATAATTTATGTGAGAATTTACTTAGACTTTTAAATGTATAAAAAGATTAGTGAAGACTAATGTTACTAACCTTTATATCCTATAAGAATATTTAATATAAATTATTTAAATAGTAATTTAAAAAGATGATACTTTTTATAATTTGAAGGTTTTATATCAATTAGTTATACTAAATTAGATCAATTGGTGTTAATTAACAGCAAGTGAATGTTTCTCTAATGATTTCCATAAAAGTTTTGTTCAAGAAGCTGCTAATAGCTATGTCCTATAACTGATTGTATTAAATAAAAAAAAGAAAAATGAGTAAAAGATTAATTTAATGCAAAATGTTGTTGTATTTTACAATGAATTACTTTTAAATACAAATTTTTTGTTTTACTTATAAAAGATGGTTTATATATCCACAAACTATTTGCTTAATAAAAAAATACAAATTTGAAATTATTTATTTTTTGTTACATTTTTTTCTCAATTTATCAACATTATATATTTTTTATGTTTATCTCTTAAACATTATAATATAGAAATATACATATTTAAATAGCTTATTTTTAGATAATGATCTAATTAAGAAAATTAAATCTAATTTAGACTAGTGTTTCAGAAATACAAACAATTTAAAGTAATAATATGAGACGATCGCGCGGGCGATTATATTTTCATTACTAAATATTTCTGGACCTCGCTACTCTTCTCCCCTAAGTATAAAAATGTTAATAACTTCTAAAATACTGATTTAAAAGTTGTTATATCCAGTTATATTCTTAATTACATAATTATCTATTAAATAAATTTGTTTATTTTAACTGAGAAAAAAATATACAAAAATGGAACCAAAAAAAAAAATTGTTAATATTTATTTTTATTTTTTATTAATTAAGTGGATCATATAATATAAATCATTATCTATGTGTGATACATTTACTACGTCTTAAATCTATATAAGAACCCAACATAGATTATGACATTGGAGTTACGGGCCTAATTTAAATAAGGATAAAATAGCATAGGGATTATTTAATAGTTATGTTATATATGATTTAACAAAACATTGTGAGGTGGGAGGGGCATAGGCCTTACATTAAATCCTAAGACCTATTTACGTAATAGAGATAACAGATTTAGATACAATGGTATGCAAAGTTTATTAAACTTTTAAGAGTCAAGAGTTTCCAATTACTAAATCCATAGAAGTTAATAATTAGAGTTCCTCAGGACTTCTATAATAGGAATCCACTATAAAACTATATAGGTATTCCATGTAGTTTAGAATGAGAATATGATTGAGAGGACATTCGGAGTCAAATAGGAAGTCCTTGGACTTAATTGAATCCTGATGAGGAGGCCTCTGGAGTTCTTATAAAATACTCTGCG